TGGAATCAGGGAGAAGGGGATGGAATCTGAGAGAAGGGGATGGAATCTGGGAGAAGGGGATGGAATCTGGGAGAAGGGGATGGAATCAGGGAGAAGGGGATGGAGTCTGGGAGAAGGGGATGGAATTTGGGAGAAGGGGATGGAATCTGGGAGAAGGGGATGGAATCTGGAAGAAGGGGGTGGCGTCTGGGAGAAGGAGATGGAATGAGGGAGAAAGGGATGGAATCTGGGAGAAGGGGATAGAATCTGGGAGAAGGGGATGGAATCTGGGAGAAGGGGATGGAGTCTGGGAGGGCGGGATGGAACCTGGGAGAAGGGGATGGAATCTGGGAGAAGGGGATGGAATGAGGGAGAAGGGGTTGGAATCTGGGAGGAGGGGATGGAATCTGGGAGAAGGGGATGGAATCTGGCAGAAGGGGATGGAATCTGGAAGAAGGGGATGGAATCTGGGAGAAGGGGATGGAATCTGGGAGAAGGGGATGGAATCTGGAAGAAGGGGATGGAATATGGGAGAAGGGGATGGAATCTAGGAGAAGGGGATGGAATCTGGGAGAAGGGAATGGAATCTGGGAGAAGGGGATGGAATCCGGGAGAAGGGGATGGAATCGGGGAGAAGGGGATGGAATTAGGGAGGAGGGGATGGAAGCTGGGAGAAGGGGATGGAATCTGGCAGAAGGGGATGGAATCTGGGAGAAGGGGATGGACTCTGGGAGAAGGGGATGGAATCTGGGAGAAGGGGATGGAATCAAGGAGAAGGGGATGGAATCTGGGAGAAGGGGATGGAATCTGGGAGAAGGGGATGGAATCTGGGAGAAGGGGATGGAATCTGAGAGAAGGGGATGGAATCTGGGAGAAGGGGATGGAATATGGGAGAAGGGGATGGAATCTAGGAGAAGGGGATGGAATCTGGGAGAAGGGAATGGAATCTGGGAGAAGGGGATGGAATCCGGGAGAAGGGGATGGAATCGGGGAGAAGGGGATGGAATTAGGGAGGAGGGGATGGAAGCTGGGAGAAGGGGATGGAATCTAGGAGAAGGGGATGGAATCTGGGAGAAGGGGATGGAATCTGGGAGAAGGGGATGGAATCTGGGAGAAGGGGCTGGAATCTGGGAGAAGGGGATGGAATCTAGGAGACGGGGATGGAATCTGGGAGAAGGGGATGGAATCTCGGAGAAGGGGATGGAATCTGGGAGAAGGGGATGGAATCTGGGAGAAGGGGATGGAATCAGGGAGAAGGGGATGGAATATGGGAGAAGGGGATGGAATCGGGGAGAAGGGGATGGAATCAGAGAGAAGGGGATGGAAAATGGGAGAAGGGGATGGAATCTGGGAGAAGGGGATGGAATCTGGGAGAAGGGGATAGAATCTTGGAGAAGGGGATGGAATCAGGGAGAAGGGGATGGAATCTGGGAGAAGGGGATGGAATCTAGGAGAAGGGGATGGAATATGGGAGAATGGGATGGAATCTGGGAGAAGGGGATGGAATCTGGGAGAAGGGGATGGAATCTGGGAGAAGGGGATGGAATCTGGGAGAAGGGGATGGAATCTGGGAGAAGGGGATGGAATATGGGAGAAGGGGATGGAATATGGGAGAAGGGGATGGAATCTGGAAGAAAGGGATGGAATTTGGGAGAAGGGGATGGAATCTGGGAGAAGGGGATGGAATCTGGAAGAAGGGGGTGGAATCTGGGAGAAGGGGATGGAATGAGGCAGAAGGGGATGGAATCGGGGAGAAGGGGATGGAATCAGGGAGAAGGGGATGGAATCTGAGAGAAGGGGATGGAATCTGGGAGAAGGGGATGGAATCTGGGAGAAGGGGATGGAATCAGGGAGAAGGGGATGGAGTCTGGGAGAAGGGGATGGAATTTGGGAGAAGGGGATGGAATCAGGGAGAAGGGGATGGAATCTGGAAGAAGGGGGTGGCGTCTGGGAGAAGGAGATGGAATGAGGGAGAAAGGGATGGAATCTGGGAGAAGGGGATAGAATCTGGGAGAAGGGGATGGAATCTGGGAGAAGGGGATGGAGTCTGGGAGAAGGGGATGGAATGAGGGAGAAGGGGTTGGAATCTGGGAGGAGGGGATGGAATCTGGGAGAAGGGGATGGAATCTGGCAGAAGGGGATGGAATCTGGAAGAAGGGGATGGAATCTGGGAGAAGGGGATGGAATCTGGGAGAAGGGGATGGAATATGGGAGAATGGGATGGAATCTGGGAGAAGGGGATGGAATCTGGGAGAAGGGGATGGAATCTGGGAGAAGGGGATGGAATGTGGGAGAAGGGGATGGAATCTGGGAGAAGGGGATGGAATATGGGAGAAGGGGATGGAATATGGGAGAAGGGGATGGAATCTGGAAGAAGGGGATGGAATTTGGGAGAAGGGGATGGAATCTGGGAGAAGGGGATGGAATCTGGAAGAAGGGGGTGGAATCTGGGAGAAGGGGATGGAATGAGGGAGAAGGGGATGGAATCGGGGAGAAGGGGATGGAATCAGGGAGAAGGGGATGGAATCTTAGAGAAGGGGATGGAATCTGGGAGAAGGGGATGGAATCTGGGAGAAGGGGATGGAATCAGGGAGAAGGGGATGGAGTCTGGGAGAAGGGGATGGAATTTGGGAGAAGGGAATGGAATCTGGGAGAAGGGGATGGAATCTGGAAGAAGGGGGTGGCGTCTGGGAGAAGGAGATGGAAAGAGGGAGAAAGGGATGGAATCTGGGAGAAGGGGATAGAATCTGGGAGAAGGGGATGGAATCTGGGAGAAGGGGATGGAGTCTGGGAGGGCGGGATGGAACCTGGGAGAAGGGGATGGAATCTGGGAGAAGGGGATGGAATGAGGGAGAAGGGGTTGGAATCTGGGAGGAGGGGATGGAATCTGGGAGAAGGGGATGGAATCTGGCAGAAGGGGATGGAATCTGGAAGAAGGGGATGGAATCTGGGAGAAGGGGATGGAATCTGGGAGAAGGGGATGGAATCTGGAAGAAGGGGATGGAATCTGGGAGAAGGGGATGGAATCGGGGAGAAGGGGATGGAATCAGGGAGAAGGGGATGGAATCTGGGAGAAGGGGATGGAATCTGGGAGAAGGGGATGGAGTCTGGGAGGGCGGGATGGAACCTGGGAGAAGGGGATGGAATCTGGGATAAGGGGATGGGATGAGGGAGAAGGGGTTGGAATCTGGGAGGAGGGGATGGAATCTGGGAGAAGGGGATGGAATCTGGCAGAAGGGGATGGAATCTGGAAGAAGGGGATGGAATCTGGGAGAAGGGGATGGAATCTGGGAGAAGGGGATGGAATATGGGAGAATGGGATGGAATCTGGGAGAAGGGGATGGAATCTGGGAGAAGGGGATGGAATCTGGGAGAAGGGGATGGAATCTGGGAGAAGGGGATGGAATCTGGGAGAAGGGGATGGAATATGGGAGAAGGGGATGGAATATGGGAGAAGGGGATGGAATCTGGAAGAAGGGGATGGAATTTGGGAGAAGGGGATGGAATCTGGGAGAAGGGGATGGAATCTAGAAGAAGGGGGTGGAATCTGGGAGAAGGGGATGGAATGAGGGAGAAGGGGATGGAATCGGGGAGAAGGGGATGGAATCAGGGAGAAGGGGATGGAATCTTAGAGAAGGGGATGGAATCTGGGAGAAGGGGATGGAATCTGGGAGAAGGGGATGGAATCAGGGAGAAGGGGATGGAGTCTGGGAGAAGGGGATGGAATTTGGGAGAAGGGGATGGAATCTGGGAGAAGGGGATGGAATCTGGAAGAAGGGGGTGGCGTCTGGGAGAAGGAGATGGAATGAGGGAGAAAGGGATGGAATCTGGGAGAAGGGGATGGAATCTGGGAGAAGGGGATGGAATCTGGGAGAAGGGGATGGAATATGGGAGAATGGGATGGAATCTGGGAGAAGGGGATGGAATCTGGGAGAAGGGGATGGAATCTGGGAGAAGGGGATGGAATCAGGGAGAAGGGGATGGAATCTGGGAGAAGGGGATGGAATATGGGAGAAGGGGATGGAATATGGGAGAAGGGGATGGAATCTGGAAGAAGGGGATGGAATTTGGGAGAAGGGGATGGAATCTGGGAGAAGGGGATGGAATCTGGAAGAAGGGGGTGGAATCTGGGAGAAGGGGATGGAATGAGGGAGAAGGGGATGGAATCGGGGAGAAGGGGATGGAATCAGGGAGAAGGGGATGGAATCTGAGAGAAGGGGATGGAATCTGGGAGAAGGGGATGGAATCTGGGAGAAGGGGATGGAATCAGGGAGAAGGGGATGGAGTCTGGGAGAAGGGGATGGAATTTGGGAGAAGGGGATGGAATCTGGGAGAAGGGGATGGAATCTGGAAGAAGGGGGTGGCGTCTGGGAGAAGGAGATGGAATGAGGGAGAAAGGGATGGAATCTGGGAGAAGGGGATAGAATCTGGGAGAAGGTTGATGGAATCTGGGAGAAGGGGATGGAGTCTGGGAGGGCGGGATGGAACCTGGGAGAAGGGGATGGAATCTGGGAGAAGGGGATGGGATGAGGGAGAAGGGGTTGGAATCTGGGAGGAGGGGATGGAATCTGGGAGAAGGGGATGGAATCTGGCAGAAGGGGATGGAATCTGGAAGAAGGGGATGGAATCTGGGAGAAGGGGATGGAATCTGGGAGAAGGGGATGGAATATGGGAGAATGGGATGGAATCTGGGAGAAGGGGATGGAATCTGGGAGAAGGGGATGGAATCTGGGAGAAGGGGATGGAATCTGGGAGAAGGGGATGGAATCTGGGAGAAGGGGATGGAATATGGGAGAAGGGGATGGAATATGGGAGAAGGGGATGGAATCTGGAAAAAGGGGATGGAATTTGGGAGAAGGGGATGGAATCTGGGAGAAGGGGATGGAATCTGGAAGAAGGGGGTGGAATCTGGGAGAAGGGGATGGAATGAGGGAGAAGGGGATGGAATCGGGGAGAAGGGGATGGAATCAGGGAGAAGGGGATGGAATCTTAGAGAAGGGGATGGAATCTGGGAGAAGGGGATGGAATCTGGGAGAAGGGGATGGAATCAGGGAGAAGGGGATGGAGTCTGGGAGAAGGGGATGGAATTTGGGAGAAGGGGATGGAATCTGGGAGAAGGGGATGGAATCTGGAAGAAGGGGGTGGCGTCTGGGAGAAGGAGATGGAATGAGGGAGAAAGGGATGGAATCTGGGAGAAGGGGATAGAATCTGGGAGAAGGGGATGGAATCTGGGAGAAGGGGATGGAGTCTGGGAGGGCGGGATGGAACCTGGGAGAAGGGGATGGAATCTGGGAGAAGGGGATGGAATGAGGGAGAAGGGGTTGGAATCTGGGAGGAGGGGATGGAATCTGGGAGAAGGGGATGGAATCTGGCAGAAGGGGATGGAATCTGGAAGAAGGGGATGGAATCTGGGAGAAGGGGATGGAATCTGGGAGAAGGGGATGGAATCTGGAAGAAGGGGATGGAATCTGGGAGAAGGGGATGGAATCGGGGAGAAGGGGATGGAATCAGGGAGAAGGGGATGGAATCTGGGAGAAGGGGATGGAATCTGGGAGAAGGGGATGGAATATATGAAAAAGGGATGGAATCTGAGAGAACTGGATGGAATGAGGGAGAAGGGGATGGAATCTGGGAGAAGGGGATGGAATATGGAAGAAGGGGATGGAATCTGGGAGAAGGGGATGGAATCTTGGAGAAGGGGATGGAATCTGGGAGAAGGGGATGGAATTAGGGAGGAGGGGATGGAAGCTGGGAGAAGGGGATGGAATCTTGGAGAAGGGGATGGAATCTGGGAGAAGGGGATGGAATCTGGGAGAAGGGGATGGAATCTGGGAGAAGGGGCTGGAATCTGGGAGAAGGGGATGGAATCTAGGAGAAGGGGATGGAATCTAGGAGAAGGGGATGGAATCTGGGAGAAGAGGATGGAATCAGGGAGAAGGGGATGGAATATGGGAGAAGAGGATGGAATCTGGGAGAAGGGGATGGAATCGAAGAGAAGGGGATGGAATATGGGAGAAGGGGATGGAATCTGGCAGAAGGGGATGGATTAGGGAGAAGGAGATGGAATTAGGGAGAAGAGGATGGAATCTGGGAGAAGGGGATGGAATCGGGGAGAAGGGGATGGAATCTGGGAGAAGGGGATGGAATCTATGAAAAAGGGATGGAATCTGAGAGAACTGGATGGAATGAGGGAGAAGGGGATGGAATCTGGGAGAAGGGGATGGAATATGGAAGAAGGGGATGGAATCTGGGAGAAGGGGATGGAATCTTGGAGAAGGGGATGGAATCTGGGAGAAGGGGATGGAATTAGGGAGGAGGGGATGGAAGCTGGGAGAAGGGGATGGAATCTCGGAGAAGGGGATGGAATCAGGGAGAAGGGGATGGAATGTGGGAGAAGGGGATGGAATCTGGGAGAAGGGGATGGAATCTGGGAGAAGGGGATGGAATCTGGGAGAAAGGGATGGAATCAGGGAGAAGGGGATGGAATCTGGGAGAAGGGGATGGAATCTGGGAGAAGGGGATGGAATATGGGAGAATGGGATGGAATCTGGGAGAAGGGGATGGAATCTGGGAGAAGGGGATGGAATCTGGGAGAAGGGGATGGAATCTGGAAGAAGGGGATGGAATTTGGGAGAAGGGGATGGAATCTGGGAGAAGGGGATGGAATCTGGAAGAAGGGGGTGGAATCTGGGAGAAGGGGATGGAATGAGGGAGAAGGGGATGGAATCAGGGAGAAGGGGATGGAATCAGGGAGAAGGGGATGGAATCTGGGAGAAGGGGATGGAATCTGGGAGAAGGGGATGGAATCTGGGAGAAGGGGATGGAGTCAGGGAGAAGGGGATGGAATTTGGGAGAAGGGGATGGAATCTGGGAGAAGGGGATAGAATCTGGAAGAAGGGGGCTGCGTCTGGGAGAAGGAGATGGAATGAGGGAGAAAGGGATGGAATCTGAGAGAAGGGGATAGAATCTGGGAGAAGGGGATGGAATGTGGGAGAAGGGGATGGAGTCAGGGAGGGCGGGATGGAACCTGGGAGAAGGGGATGGAATCTGGGAGAAGGGGAAGGAATGAGGGAGAAGGGGTTGGAATCTGGGAGGAGGGGATGGAATCTGGGTGAAGGGGATGGAATCTGGCAGAAGGGGATGGAATCAGGGAGAAGGGGATGGAATCTGGGAGAAGGGAATGGAATCTTGAAGAAGGGGATGCAATCTGGGAGAAGGGGATGGAATCAGGGAGAAGGGGATGGAATCAGGGAGAAGGGGATGGAATTTGGGAGAAGGGGATGGAATCCGGGAGAAGGGGATGGAATCTATGAAAAAGGGATGGAATCTGAGAGAACTGGATGGAATGAGGGAGAAGGGGATGGAATCTGGGAGAAGGGGATGGAATATGGAAGAAGGGGATGGAATCTGGGAGAAGGGGATGGAATCTGGGAGAAGGGGATGGAATCTTGGAGAAGGGGATGGAATCTGGGAGAAGGGGATGGAATCTGGGAGAAGGGGATAGAATATGGGAGAAGGGGCTGGAATCTGGGAGAAGGGGATGGAATCTGGGAGAAGGGGATGGAATCTGGGAGAAGGGGATGGAATCTGGGAGAAGGGGATGGAATCTGGGAGAAGGGGATGGAATCTGGGAGAAGGGGATGGAATCTGGGAGAAGGGGATGGAATCTGGAAGAAGGGGATGGAATTTGGGAGAAGGGGATGGAATCTGGGAGAAGGGGATGGAATCTGGAAGAAGGGGATTGAATCTAGGAGAAGGAGATGGAATGAGGGAGAAGAGGATGGAATATGGGAGAAGGGGTTGGAATCTGGGAAAAAGGGATGGAATCTGGGAGAAGGGGACAGAATCTGGGAGAAGGGGATGGAATCTGGGAGAAGGGGATGGAATCTGGGAGAAGGGGATGGAATGAGGGAGAAGGGGATGGAATGTGGGAGAAGGGGATGGAATCTGGGAGAAGGGGATGGAATCTGGGAGAAGGGGATGGAATCTGGGAGAAAGGGATGGAATCTGGTAGAAGGGGATGGAATCTGGAAAAAGGGGATGGAATCAGGGAGAAGGGGATGGAATCTGGGAGAAAGGGATGGAATCTGGGAGAAGGGGATGGAATATGGGAGAAGGGGATGGAATCTGGGAGAAGGGGATGGAATATGGGAGAAGGGGATGGAATCTGGGAGAAGGGGATGGAATCAGGGAGAAGGGGATGGAATATAGGAGAAGGGGATGGAATCTGGGAGAAGGGGATGGAATATGGGAGAAGGGGCTGGAATCTGGGAGAAGGGGATGGAATCTGGGAGAAGGGGATGGAATCTGGGAGAAGGGGATGGAATCTGGGAGAAGGGGATGGAATCTGGGAGAAGGGGATGGAATCTGGGAGACGGGGATGGAATCTGGGAGAAGGGGATGGAATCTGGAAGAAGGGGATGGAATTTGGGAGAAGGGGATGGAATCTGGGAGAAGGGGATGGAATCTGGAAGAAGGGGGTGGAATCTGGGAGAAGGGGATGGAATGAGGGAGAAGGGGATGGAATCGAGGAGAAGGGGATGGAATCAGGGAGAAGGGGATGGAATCTGGGAGAAGGGGATGGAATCTGGGAGAAGGGGATGGAATCTGGGAGAAGGCGATGGAATCTGGGAGAAGGGGATGGAATCTGGGAGAAGGGGATGGAATATGGGAGAAGGGGATGGAATCTAGGAGAAGGGGATGGAATCTGGGAGAAGGGAATGGAATCTGGGAGGAGGGGATGGAATCTGGGAGAAGGGGATGGAATCTGGGAGAAGGGGATGGAATTAGGTAGGAGGGGATGGAAGCTGGGAGAAGGGGATGGAATCTGGGAGAAGGGGATGGAATCTGGGAGAAGGGGATGGAATCTGGGAGAAGGGGATGGAATCTGGGAGAAGGGGCTGGAATCTGGGAGAAGGGGATGGAATCTAGGAGAAGGGGATGGAATCTGGGAGAAGGGGATGGAATCTGGGAGAAGGGGATGGAATCTGGGAGAAGGGGATGGAATCTGGGAGAAGGGGATGGAATCAGGGAGAAGGGGATGGAATATGGGAGAAGGGGATGGAATCTGGGAGAAGGGGATGGAATCGGAAAGAAGGGGATGGAATATGGGAGAAGGGGATGGAATCTGGGAGAAGGGGATGGAATCTGGGAGAAGGAGATGGAATTAGGGAGAAGAGGATGGAATCTGGGAGAAGGGGATGGAATCGGGGAAAAGGGGATGGAATCAGGGAGAAGGGGATGGAATGTGGGAGAAGGGGATGGAATCTGGGAGAAGGGGATGGAATCTGCGAGAAGGAGATGGAATGAGGGAGAAGAGGATGGAATCTGGGAGAAGGGGATGGAATATGGGAGAAGAAGATGGAATCTGGGAGAAGGGGACAGAATCTGGGAGAAGGGGATGGAATGAGGGAGAAGGGGATGGAATCTGGAAGAAGAGGATGGAATCTGGGAGAAGGGGATGGAATCTGGGAAAAGGGGATGGAATCTAGGAGAAGGGGATGGAATCTGTGAGAAGGGGATGGAATCTGGGAGAAGGGGATGGAATCTGGGAGAAGGGGATGGAATCTGGGAGAAGGGGATTGAGTCTGGGAGGGCGCGATGGAATCTGGGAGAAGGGGATGGAATCTGGGAGAAGGGGATGGAATGAGGGAGAAGGGGATGGAATCGGGGAGAAGGGGATGGAATCTGGGAGAAGGGGATGGAATCTGGGAGAAGGGGATGGAATCTGGGAGAAGGGGATGGAATCTGGGAGAAGGGGATGGAATCTGGGAGAAGGGGATGGAATCTGGGAGAAGGGGATTGAGTCTGGGAGGGCGCGATGGAATCTGGGAGAAGGGGATGGAATCTGGGAGAAGGGGATGGAATGAGGGAGAAGGGGATGGAATCGGGGAGAAGGGGATGGAATCTGGGAGAAGGGGATGGAATCTGGGAGAAGGGGATGGAATCTGGGAGAAGGGGATGGAATCTGGGAGAAGGGGATGGAATCTGGGAGAAGGGGATGGAATCTGGGAGAAGGGGATGGAGTTTGGGAGAAGAGGATGGAATCGGGGAGAAGGGGATGGAATCAGGAAGAAGGTGGTGGAATCTGGGAGAAGGAGATGGAATGAGGGAGAAGGGGATGGAATCTGGGAGAAGGGGATGGAATCTGGGAGAAGGGAATGGAATCTAGGAGAAGGGGATGGAGTCTGGGAGGGCAGGATGGAATCTGAGAGAAGGGGATGGAATCTGGGAGAAAGGGATGGAATCTGGGAGAAGGGGATGGAATCTGGGAGAAAGGGATGGAATCTGGTAGAAGGGGATGGAATCTGGAAAAAGGGGATGGAATCTGGGAGAAGGGGATGGAATCTGGGAGAAGGGGATGGAATCAGGGAGAAGGGGATGGAATCGGGGAGAAGGGGATGGAATATGGGAGAAGGGGATGGAATGTGGGAGAAGGGGATGGAATGAGGGAGAAGGGGATGGAATCGGGGAGAAGGGGATGGAATATGGGAGAAGGGGATGGAATCTGGGAGAAGGGGATGGAATCTAGGAGAAGGAGATGGAATGAGGGAGAAGAGGATGGAATCTGGGAGAAGGGGATGGAATCTGGGAAAAAGGGATGGAATCTGGTAGAAGGGGATGGAATCTGGAAAAAGGGGATGGAATCTGGGAGAAGGGGATGGAATCTGGGAGAAGGGGATGGAATCAGGGAGAAGGGGATGGAATCGGGGAGAAGGGGATGGAATATGGGAGAAGGGGATGGAATGTGGGAGAAGGGGATGGAATGAGGGAGAAGGGGATGGAATCGGGGAGAAGGGGATGGAATATGGGAGAAGGGGATGGAATCTGGGAGAAGGGGATGGAATCTAGGAGAAGGAGATGGAATGAGGGAGAAGAGGATGGAATCTGGGAGAAGGGGATGGAATCTGGGAAAAAGGGATGGAATCTGGTAGAAGGGGATGGAATCTGGAAAAAGGGGATGGAATCTGGGAGAAGGGGATGGAATCTGGGAGAAGGGGATTGAATCAGGGAGAAGGGGATGGAATCGGGGAGAAGGGGATGGAATATGGGAGAAGGGGATGGAATGTGGGAGAAGGGGATGGAATGAGGGAGAAGGGGATGGAATCGGGGAGAAGGGGATGGAATATGGGAGAAGGGGATGGAATCTGGGAGAAGGGGATGGAATCTAGGAGAAGGAGATGGAATGAGGGAGAAGAGGATGGAATCTGGCAGAAGGGGATGGAATCTGGAAGAAGGGGATGGAATCAGGGAGAAGGGGATGGAATCTGGGAGAAGGGGATGGAATCTTGAAGAAGGGGATGGAATCTGGGAGAAGGGGATGGAATCGGGAGAAGGGGATGGAATCAGGGAGAAGGGGATGGAATCTGGGAGAAGGGGATGGAATCTGGGAGAAGGGGATGGAATCTATGAAAAAGGGATGGAATCTGAGAGAACTGGATGGAATGAGGGAGAAGGGGATGGAATCTGGGAGAAGGGGATGGAATATGGAAGAAGGGGATGGAATCTGGGAGAAGGGGATGGAATCTGGGAGAAGGGGATGGAATCTGGGAGAAGGGGATGGAGTCTGGGAGAATGGGATGGAATGAGGGAGAAGGGGATGGAATCGGGGAGAAGGGGATGGAATATGGGAGAAGGGGATGGTATCTGGGAGAAGGGGATGGAATCTAGGAGAAGGAGATGGAATGAGGGAGAAGAGGATGGAATATGGGAGAAGGGGTTGGAATGAGGGAGAAGGGGATGGAATCTGGGAGAAGGGGATGGAATCTGGGAGAAGGGGATGGAATCTGGGAGAAGGGGATGGAATCTGGGAGAAAGGGATGGAATATGGTAGAAGGGGATGGAATCTGGAAAAAGGGGATGGAATCAGGGAGAAGGGGATGGAATCTGGGAGAAGGGGATGGAATCTGGGAGAAGGGGATGGAATCTGGGAGAAGGGGATGGAATCTGGGAGAAAGGGATGGAATATGGTAGAAGGGGATGGAATCTGGAAAAAGGGGATGGAATCAGGGAGAAGGGGATGGAATCTGGGAGAAGGGGATGGAATCTGGGAGAAGGGGATGGAATCTGGGAGAAGGGGATGGAATCTGGGAGAAGGGGATGGAATCTGGGAGAAGGGGATGGAATCTGGAAGAAGGGGATGGAATTTGGGAGAAGGGGATGGAATCTGGGAGAAGGGGATGGAATCTGGGAGAAGGGGATGGAATATGGGAGAAGGGGATGGAATCTGGAAGAAGGGGATGGAATTTGGGAGAAGGGGATGGAATCTGGGAGAAGGGGATGGAATCTGGAAGAAGGGGATGGAATTTGGGAGAAGGGGATGGAATCTGGGAGAAGGGGATGGAATCTGGAAGAAGGGGGTGGAATCTGGGAGAAGGGGATGGAATGAGGGAGAAGGGGATGGAATCAGGGAGAAGGGGATGGAATCAGGGAGAAGGGGATGGAATCTAGGAGAAGGGGATGGAATCTGGGAGAAGGGGATGGAATCTGGGAGAAGGGGATGGAATCTGGGAGAAGGGGATGGAGTCAGGGAGAAGGGGATGGAATTTGGGAGAAGGGGATGGAATCTGGGAGAAGGGGATAGAATCTGGAAGAAGGGGGCTGCGTCTGGGAGAAGGAGATGGAATGAGGGAGAAAGGGATGGAATCTGGGAGAAGGGGATAGAATCTGGGAGAAGGGGATGGAATGTAGGAGAAGGGGATGGAGTCAGGGAGGGCGGGATGGAACCTGGGAGAAGGGGATGGAATCTGGGAGAAGGGGAAGGAATGAGGGAGAAGGGGTTGGAATCTGGGAGGAGGGGATGGAATCTGGGTGAAGGGGATGGAATCTGGCAGAAGGGGATGGAATCTGGAAGAAGGGGATGGAATCAAGGAGAAGGGGATGGAATCTGGGAGAAGGGGATGGAATCTTGAAGAAGGGGATGGAATCTGGGTGAAGGGGATGGAATCAGGGAGAAGGGGATGGAATCTGGGAGAAGGGGATGGAATCCGGGAGAAGGGGATGGAATCTATGAAAAAGGGATGGAATCTGAGAGAACTGGATGAAATGAGGGAGAAGGGGATGGAATCTGGGAGAAGGGGATGGAATATGGAAGAAGGGGATGGAATCTGGGAGAAGGGGATGGAATCTGGGAGAAGGGGATGGAATCTTGGAGAAGGGGATGGAATCTGGGAGAAGGGGATGGAATCTGGGAGAAGTGGATGGAATCTGGAAGAAGGGGATGGAATTTGGGAGAAGGGGATGGAATCTGGGAGAAGGGGATGGAATCTGGAAGAAGGGGGTGGAATCTGGGAGAAGGGGATGGAATGAGGGAGAAAGGGATGGAATTGGGGAGAAGGGGATGGAATCAGGGAGAAGGGGATGGAGTCTGGGAGAAGGGGATGGATTGAGGGAGAAGGGGATGGAATCGGGGAGAAGGGGATGGAATATGGGAGAAGGGGATGGAATCTGGGAGAAGGGGATTGAATCTAGGAGAAGGAGATGGAATGAGGGAGAAGAGGATCGAATATGGGAGAAGGGGTTGGAATCTGGGAGAAGGGGACAGAATCTGGGAGAAGGGGATGGAATCTGGGAGAAGGGGATGGAATGAGGGAGAAGGGGATGGAATCTAGGAGAAGGGGATGGAATCTGGGAGAAGGGGATGGAATCTGGGAGAAGGGGATGGAATCTGGGAGAAAGGGATGGAATCTGGTAGAAGGGGATGGAATCTTGGAGAAGGGGATGGAATCTGGGAGAAGGGGATGGAATCTGGGAGAAGTGGATGGAATCTGGAAGAAGGGGATGGAATTTGGGAGAAGGGGATGGAATCTGGGAGAAGGGGATGGAATCTGGAAGAAGGGGGTGGAATCTGGGAGAAGGGGATGGAATGAGGGAGAAAGGGATGGAATTGGGGAGAAGGGGATGGAATCAGGGAGAAGGGGATGGAGTCTGGGAGAAGGGGATGGATTGAGGGAGAAGGGGATGGAATCGGGGAGAAGGGGATGGAATATGGGAGAAGGGGATGGAATCTGGGAGAAGGGGATTGAATCTAGGAGAAGGAGATGGAATGAGGGAGAAGAGGATCGAATATGGGAGAAGGGGTTGGAATCTGGGAGAAGGGGACAGAATCTGGGAGAAGGGGATGGAATCTGGGAGAAGGGGATGGAATGAGGGAGAAGGGGATGGAATCTAGGAGAAGGGGATGGAATCTGGGAGAAGGGGATGGAATCTGGGAGAAGGGGATGGAATCTGGGAGAAAGGGATGGAATCTGGTAGAAGGGGATGGAATCTGGAAAAAGGGGATGGAATCGGGGAGAAGGGGATGGAATCTGGGAGAAAGGGATGGAATCTGGGAGAAGGGGATGGAATATGGGAGAAGGGGATGGAATCTGGGAGAAGGGGATGGAATATGGGAGAAGGGGATGGAATCTGGGAGAAGGGGATGGAATCAGGGAGAAGGGGATGGAATCTGGGAGAAGGGGATGGAATCTGGGAGAAGGGGATGGAATATGGGAGAAGGGGCTGGAATCTGGGAGAAGGGGATGGAATCTGGGAGAAGGGGATGGAATCTGGGAGAAGGGGATGGAATCTGGGAGAAGGGGATGGAATCTGGGAGAAGGGGATGGAATCTGGGAGAAGGGGATGGAATCTGGGAGAAGGGGATTGAATCTGGAAGAAGGGGATGGAATTTGGGAGAAGGGGATGGAATCTGGGAGAAGGGGATGGAATCTGGAAGAAGGGGATTGAATCTAGGAGAAGGAGATGGAATGAGGGAGAAGAGGATGGAATATGGGAGAAGGGGTTGGAATCTGGGAAAAAGGGATGGAATCTGGGAGAAGGGGACAGAATCTGGGAGAAGGGGATGGAATCTGGGAGAAGGGGATGGAATGAGGGAGAAGGGGATGGAATGTGGGAGAAGGGGATGGAATCTGGGAGAAGGGGATGGAATCTGGGAGAAGGGGATGGAATCTGGGAGAAAGGGATGGAATCTGGTAGAAGGGGATGGAATCTGGAAAAAGGGGATGGAATCAGGGAGAAGGGGATGGAATCTAGGAGAAAGGGATGGAATCTGGGAGAAGGGGATGGAATATGGGAGAAGGGGATGGAATCTGGGAGAAGGGGATGGAATATGGGAGAAGGGGATGGAATCTGGGAGAAGGGGATGGAATCAGGGAGAAGGGGATGGAATCTGGGAGAAGGGGATGGAATCTGGGAGAAGGGGATGGAATATGGGAGAAGGGGCTGGAATCTGGGAGAAGGGGATGGAATCTGGGAGAAGGGGATGGAATCTGGGAGAAGGGGATGGAATCTGGGAGAAGGGGATGGAATCTGGGAGAAGGGGATGGAATCTGGGAGAAGGGGATGGAATCAGGGAGAAGGGGATGGAATCTGGAAGAAGGGGATGGAATTTTGGAGAAGGGGACGTCCACCTCCACGTCCACGTCCGCGTCCACGTCCACGTCCACGTCCACGTCCACCTCCACCTTCACCTCCACGTCCACCTCCACGTCCACGTCCGCGTCCACGTCCACGTCCACGTCCACGTCCACGACCACGTCCATGTCCACGTCCAAGTCCTCCACGTCCATGTCCACGTCCATGTCCACGTCCACGTCCACGTCCACGTCCATGTCCATGTCCACGTCCACGTCCTGGTCCATGTCCACGTCCATGTCCACGTCCACGTCCATGTCCACGTCCACGTCCATGTCCACGTCCATGTCCATGTCCATGTCCATGTCTACGTCCACGTACACGTCTACGTCCACGTCCACGTCCATGTCCACGTCCATGTCCATGTCCACGTCCACGTCCATGTCCACGTCCACGTCAATGTCCACGTCCACGTCCACGTCCATGTCCACGTCGACGTCCACGTCCACGTCGACCTCCACGTCCACGTCCATGTCCACGTCCACGTCCAAGTCGGCGTCCATGTCCACGTCCATGTCCTCGTCGGCGTCCATGTCTACGTCCACGTCCACATCTACGTCCACGTCCACGTCCACGTCCATATCCATGTCCACGTCCACGTCCATGTCCACGTCCACGTCAATGTCCACGTCCACGTCCACGTCCATGTCCACGTCCACGTCCACGTCGACCTCCACGTCCACGTCCATGTCCACGTCCACGTCTACGTCCACGTCCACGTCCACGTCCACGTCCATGTCCACGTCCACGTCCATGTCCACGTCCACGTCCACGTCCAAGTCCACGTCCACGTCCATCCACGTCCACGTCCACGTCCACGTCCATGTCCATGTCCACGTCCACGTCCACGTCCATGTCCACGTCCACGTCCATGTCCATGTCCATGTCCATGTCCACGTCCACGTCCACGTCCACGTCCACGTCCAAGTCCACGTCCACGTCCGCGTCCACGTCCACGTCCACGTCCATGTCCACGTCCATGTCCACGTCCAAGTCCTCCACGTCCACGTCCCCGTCCACGTCCACGACCACGTCCATGTCCACGTCCAAGTCGTCCACGTCCATGTCCACGTCCATGTCCACGTCCACGTCCACGTCCAAATCCATGTCCACGTCACGTCCACGTCCACGTCCACGTCCAAATCCATGTCCACGTCACGTCCATGTCCACGTCCACGTCCACGTCGGCGTCCACGTCCAGGTCCACGTCCACGTCCACGTCCACGTCCACGTCCACGTCCACGTCCATGTCCACGTCCATGTCCATGTCCACGTCCACGTCCATGTCCATGTCCATGTCCACGTCCACGTCCATGTCCATGTCCATGTCCACGTCCACGTCCATGTCCACGTCCAGGTCCACGTCTATGTCCACGTCCACGTCCACGTCCATGTCCATGTCCACGTCCATGTCCACGTCCATGTCCATGTCCATGTCCATGTCCACGTCCACGTCCACGTCCATGTCCACGTCCATGTCCATGTCCATGTCCATGTCCACGTCCACGTCCACGTCCACGTCCACGTCCACCTCCACGTCCACGTCCACGTCCACGTCCACGTCCACGTCCAAGTCCTCCACGTCCACGTCCACGTCCACGTCCATGTCCACGTCCACGTCCATGTCCACGTCCACGTCCACGTCCACGTCCACGTCCAAGTCCAAGTCCACGTCCACGTCCAAGTCCACGTCCGCGTCCATCCACGTCCACGTCCACGTCCATGTCCATGTCCACGTCCACGTCCACGTCCATGTCCACGTCCACGTCCATGTCCATGTCCATGTCCACGTCCACGTCCACGTCCACGTCCAAGTCCACGTCCACGTCCATGTCCACGTCCATGTCCACGTCCATGTCCAAGTCCATGTCCACGTCCAAGTCCTCCACGTCCACGTCCATGTCCATGTCCACGTCCACGTCCTCCACGTCCACGTCCACGTCCACGTCCATGTCCATGTCCACGTCCACGTCCATGTCCACGTCCACGTCCGCGTCCACGTCCACGTCCGCGTCCGCGTCCACGTCCACGTCCGCGTCCACGTCCGCATCCACGTCCGCGTCCGCGTCCGCGTCCGCGTCCACGTCCGCGTCCACGTCCACGTCCACGTCCACGTCCACGTCCAGGTCCATGGTCCATGTCCACGTCCACGTCCACGTCCACGCTTGTCCACGTCCACGTCCACGTCCACGTCCACGTCCACGACCACGACCACGACCACGTCCACGACCACGTCCACGTCCACGTCCACGTCCGCGTCCACGACCACGTCCATCCACGTCCACGTCCACCGTCCACGTCCACGTCCACCTCCACGTCCACGTCCACGTCCACGTCCACGTCCACGTCCACATCCCCGTCCACGTCCACGTCCGCGTCCATCCACGTCCACGTCCACGTCCACGTCCGCGTCTACGTCCACGTCCACGTCCGCGTCCATGTCCATGGTCCATGTTCACGTCCACGTCCATGTCCACGTCCACGTCCACGTCCATGTCCACGTCCACGTCCACGTCCACGTCCACAACCGCGTCCACGACCACGTTCATCCACGTCCAAGTCCACGTCCGCGTCCACGTCCACGTCCACGTCCGCGTCCACGTCCGCGTCCACGTCCACGTCCACGTCCACGTCCACGTCCACGTCCAAGTCCTCCACGTCCATGTCCACGTCCGCTTTCCATCACCCCGCCCCATTCTCTTGCTTTCCATCACCCCGCCCCATTCTCCCGCTTTCCATCACCCCGCCCCATTCTCCTGCTTTCCATCACCTCGCCCCATTCTCCCACTTTCCATAACTCCGCCCCATTCTCCCGCTTTCCATCACCCCGCCCCATTCTCCCGCTTTCCATCACCCCGCCCCATTCTCCCGCTTTCCATCACCCCGCCCCATTTTCCCGCTTTCCATCACCCCGCCCCATTCTCCCTCCTTAACCCTGCCCCATTCTCCCTCCTTCCATTACCCCGCCCCATTCTCACTCCTTCCATCACCCCGCCCCATTCTCCCGCTTTCAATCACCCCGCCCCATTCTCCCGCTTTCCATCACCCCGCCCCTGTCTCTCGCTTTCCATAGCCCCGCCCCATTCTCCCGCTTTCCATCACCCCGCCCCCTTCTCCTGCTTTCCATCACCGCACCCCGTTCTCCCGCTTTCCATCACCCCGCCCCATTCTCCCGCTTTCCATCACCCCGCCCCGTTCTCCCGCTATCCATCACCCCGCCCCGTTCTCCCGCTTTCCATCATCCCGCCCCATTCTCCCGCTTTCCATCACACCGCCCCATTCTCCCGTTTTCCATCACCCCGCCCCATTCTCCCGCTTTCAATCACCCCGCCCCATTCTCCCGCTTTTCCTCACCCCGCCCCATTCTCCCGCTTTCCATCACCCCGCCCCATTCTCCCGCTTTCCCTCACCGCGCAACCAGTCTTCCGCTTTCCAAAGCCCCCCCCCCATTCTCCCGCTTTCCATCACCCCGCCCCCTTCTCCCGCTTTCCATCACCCCTCCCCATTCCCCGTCCTTCCATCACCCCACCCCATTCTCCCTCCTTCCATAACCCCGCCCCATTCTCCTGCTTTCCATCACCCCGCCCCATTCTCCCGCTTTCCCTCACCCTGCCCCAGTCTACTTCTTTCTGTCACCCCGCCCCACTCTCCCGCTTTCCATCACCCCGCCCTATTCTCCCTCCTTCCATCACCCCACCCCATTCTCACTCCTTCCATCATCCCGCCCCATTCTCCCGCTTTCAATCACCCCACCCCATTCTCCCTCCTTCCATCACCCCCCCCCCCTTCTCCCTCCTTCCATAACCCCGCCCAATTCTCCCGCTTTCCATCACCCCGCCCCATTCTCCCGCTTTCCATCACCCCGCCCCATTCTCCTGCTTTCCATCACCTCGCCCCATTCTCCCGCTTTCCATCACTCCGCCTCATTCTCCCGCTTTCCATCAGCCCGCCCCATTCTCACTCTTTCCATCAACCCACCCCATTCTCCCTCCGTCCATCACCCCGCCCCATTCGCCTGATTTCCATCGCCCCGCCCTATTCTCCCATTGTCCATCACCCCGCCTCATTATCCCGCTTTCCATCACCCGCCCCATTCTCTCGCTTTCCATCACCCCGCCCCATTCTCCCGCTTTCCATCACCCCGCCCCATTCTCCCGCTTTCCATTATCCCACCCCATTCTCCCTCCTTCCATCGCCCCGCCCCTTTCCCCCGCTTTCCATCGCCCCGCCCCATTCTCTCGTTTTCCATCACCCGGCCCCATTCACCCGCTTTCCATCACCCCGCCCCATTCTCTCGCTTTCCATCACCCTGCCCCATTCTCCCAATCTCCATCACCCCGCCCCATTCTCCCTCCTTCCATCACCCCGCCCCATTCTCCCTCCTTCCATCACCCCGCCCAATTCTCCCGCTTTCCATCACCCCGCCCCATTTTCCCGCTTTCCATCACCCCGCCCCATTCTTACTCTTTCCATCATCCCATCTCATTCTCCCTCCTTCAAACACCCCGCCCCATTCTCCCTCTTTCCATCACCCCGCCCCATTGTCCCGCTTTCCATCACCACGCCTCATTCTCCCTCCTTCCATCACCCCGCCCCATTCTCCCTCCTTCCATCACCCCGCCCCATTCTCCCGCTTTCCATCACCCCGCCCCATTCTCCCGCTTTCCATCACCCCGCCCCATTCTCCCGCTTTCCATCACCTCGCCCCTTTCTCCCGCTTTCCATCACCCCGCCCCATTCTCCCTCCTTCCATCACCCCGCCCCATTCTCCCACTTTCCATCACCTCGCCCCATTCTCCCGCTTTCCATCACCCCGCCCCATTCTCCCGCTTTCCATCACCCCGCCCCATTCTCCCTCCTTAACCCCGCCCCATTCTCCCTCCTTCCATCACTCCGCCCCATTCTCACTCCTTCCATCACCCCGCCCCATTCTCCCGCTTTCAATCACCCCGCCCCATTCTCCCGCTTTCCATCACCCCGCCCCCTTCTCCTGCTTTCCATCACCGCACCCCGTTCTCCCGCTTTCCATCACCCTGCCCCATTCTCCCGCTTTCCATCATCCCGCCCTGTTCTCCCGCTTTCCATCACCCCGCACCGTTCTCCCGCTTTCCATCACCCCGCCCCATTCCCCCGCTTTCCATCACACCGCCCCATTCTCCCGTTTTCCATCACCCGGCCCCATTCTCCCGCTTTCCATCACCCCGCCCCATTCTACCGCTTTCCATCACCCTGTCCCATTCTCCCGCTTTCCATCACCCCGCCCCATTCTCTCGCTTTCCATCACCTCGCCCCATTCTCTCGCTTTCCATCACCCCGCCCCATTCTCTCGCTTTCCATCACCCCGCCCCATTCTCTCGCTTTCCACCACCCCACCCCATTCTCCCCCTTTCAATCACCCCACCCTATTCTCCCGCGTTCAATCACCCCGCCCCATTCTCCCTCCTTCCATCACCCCGCCCCATTCCCCCTCCTTCCATCACCCCGCCCCATTCTCCCTCCTTCCATCACCCCGCCCCATTCTCCCGCTTTCCATCACCCCGCCCCATTCTCCCGCTTTCCATCACCCCGCCAAATTCTCCCGCTTTCCATCACACCGCCCCATTCTCCCTCCTTCCATCACCCCGCCCCATTCTCCCTCCTTCCATAACCCTGCCCCATTCTCCCGCTTTCGATCACCCTGCCCCATTCTCCTACTTTCCATCACCCTGCCCCCTTCTCCCGCTTTCCATCACCCCGTCCCATTCTCCCTCCTTCCATCACCCCGCCACTTCCTCCCTCCTTCCATCACCCCGCGCCATTCTCCCTCCTTCCATCACCCCGCCCCATTCCCCCGCTTTCCATCACCCCGCCCCATTCTCCCGCTTTCCATCACCTTGCCCCATTCTCCCGCTTTCCATCGCCCCGCCCCATTCTCCCTCCTTCTTCACCACGCCCCATTCTCCTGCTTTCCATCATCCCGCCCCATTCTTCCGCTTTCCATCACCCCACCCCATTCTCTTGCTTTCCATCACCCCGCCCCATTCTCCCTCCTTCCATCACCCCGCCCCATTCTGCCCCATTCTCCCTCCTTCCATCACCCCACCCCATTCTCCCGCTTTCCATCACCCCGCCCCATTCTCCCGCTTTCCATCACTCCGCCCCATTCTCCCGCTTTCCATCAACCCGCCCCATTCTCCTGCTTTCCATCACCCCGCCCCATTCTCCCGCTTTCCATCACCCCTCCCCATTCTCTTGCTTTCCATCACCTCGCCCCATTCTCCCGCTTTCCATCACCCTGCCCCATTCTCTCGCTTTCCACCACCCCACCCCATTCTGCCGCTTTCCATCACCCTGCCCTATTCTCCTGCGTTCAATCACCCTGCCCCATTCTCCCTCCTTCCATCACCCCACCCCATTCTCCCTCCTTCCATCACCCCGCCCCATTCTCCCTCCTTCCATCACCCCGCCCCGTTCTCTCGCTTTACATCACCCCGCCCCATTCTCCCGTTTTCCATCACCCCGCCCCATTCTCTCGCTTTCCATCACCCCGCCCCATTCTGCTTCCTTCCATCACCCCGCCTCATTCTCCCGCTTTCCATCACCCCGCCCCATTCTCCCGCTTTCCATCACCCCGCCCCATTCTCCCTCCTTCCATCACCCCGCCCCATTCTCCCGCTTTCCATCATCCCGCCCCATTCTCCCGCTTTCCATCACCCCGCCCCATTCTCCCGCTTTCCATCACCCCGCCCCATTCTCCCTCCTTCCATCACCCCGCCCCATTCTCCCTCCTTCCATCACCACGCCCCATTCTCCCTCCTTCCATCACCCCGCCCCATTCTCCCGCTTTCCATCACCCCGCCCCATTCTCCCTCCTTCCATCACCCTGCCCCATCCTCCCTCCTTCCATCACCCCGCCCCATTCCCCCGCTTTCCATCACCGAGCCCCGTTCTCTTGCTTTCTATCACCCCGCCCCATTCTCCCGCTTTCCATCACCCCGTCCCATTTTCCCGCTTTCCCTCACCCCGCCCCAGTCTCCCGCTTTCCATAGCCCCGCCCCATTCTACCGCTTTCCATCATCCCGCCCCCTTCTCCTACTTTCCATCACCACACCCCATTCTCCCGCTTTCCATCACCCCGCCCCATTCTCCCGCTTTCCATCACCCCGCCCTACTCTCCCGCTTTCCATCACCCCGCCCCATTCTCCCACTTTCCATCACCCTGCCCCATTCTCCCGCGTTCCATCACTCCGCCCCATTCTCCCGCTTTCCATCACCCCGCCCAATTCTCCTGCTTTCCATCACCCCGCCCCATTCTCCCGCTTTCCATCACCCCGCCCAATTCTCCCGCTTTCCATCACCCCGCCCCATTCTCCCTCCTTCTATCACCCTGCCCCATTGTCTCGCTTTCCATCACCCCGCCCCATTCTCCCGCTTTCCATCACCCCGCCCCATTCTCCCACTTTCCATCACCCCACCCTATTCTCCCGCGTTCAATCACCCCGCCCCATTCTCCCTCGTTCCATCACCCCGCCTCATTCTCCCTCCTTCCATCACCCCGCCCCATTCTCCCTCCTTCCATCACCCCGCCCCATTCTCCCGCTTTCCATCACCCCGCCCCATTCTCCCGCTTTCCATCACCCCACCCTATTCTCCCGCGTTCAATCACCCCGCCCCATTCTCCCTCCTTCCATCACCCCGCCTCATTCTCCCTCCTTCCATCACCCCGCCCCATTCTCCCTCCTTCCATCACCCCGCCCCATTCTCCCGCTTTCCATCACCCCGCCCCATTCTCCCGCTTTCCATCACCCTGCCCCATTCTCCCGCTTTCCATCACCCCGCCCCATTCTCCCTCCTTTCATCACCCCGCCTCATTCTCCCTCCTTCCATAACCCTGCCCCATTCTCCTGCTTTCCATCACCCCGCCCCATTCTCCTACTTTCCATCACCCCGCCCCATTCTCCTGCTTTCCATCACCCCGCCCCATTCTCCCTCCTTTCATCACCCCGCCCCATTCTCCCTCCTTCCAAAACCCTGCCCCATTCTCCTGCTTTCCATCACCCCGCCCCATTCTCCTACTTTCCATCAACCCGCCCCATTCTCCTGCTTTCCATCACCCTGCCCCATTCTCCCTCCTTCCATAACCCTGCCCCATTCTCCCGCTTTCCATCACCCCGCCCCATCCTCCCTCCTTCCATCACCCCGCCCCATTCTCCCTCCTTCCATCACCCCGCCCCATTCTCCCGCTTTCCATCACCCCGCCCCATTCTCCTGCTTTCCATCACCTCGCCCCATTCTCCCGCTTTCCATCGCCCCGCCCCATTCTCCCTCCTTCCATCACCACGCCCCATTCTCCTGCTTTCCATCACCCCGCCCCATTCTCCCGTTTCCATCACCCCGCCCCATTCCCCCGCTTTCCATCACCCTGCCCCATTCTCCCGCTTTCCATCACCCCGCCCCATTCTCCCGCTTTCCATCACCCCGCCCCGTTCTCCCGCTTTCCATCACCTCGCCCCATTCTCCCGCTTTCAATCACCCCACCCCATTCTCCCTCTTTCCATCACCCCGCCCCATTCTCCCTCCTTCCATCACCCCGCCCCATTCTCCCTCCTTCCATCACCCCGCCCCATTCTCCCGCTTTCCACGTCCAGGTCCACGTCCACGTCCACGTCCACCTCCACCTCCACGTCCACGTCCACCTCCACCTCCACCTCCACGTCCACCTCCATGTCCACGTCCACGTCCACGTCCACGTCCACGTCCACCTCCACGTCCACCTCCATGTCCACGTCCACGTCCAAGTCCTCCACGTCCACGTCCACGTCCATGTCCACGTCCACGTCCACGTCCACGTCCATGTCCACGTCCACGTCCGCGTCCACGTCCACGTCCACGTCCGCGTCCACGTCCACGTCCACGTCCACGTCCGCGTCCACGTCCAGGTCCACGTCCACGTCCATCCACGTCCACGTCCACGTCCACGTCCATGTCCACGTCCACGTCCACGTCCACGTCCGCGTCCACGTCCGCGTCCATGTCCACGTCCACGTCCACGTCCACGTCCTCGTCCATATCCATGTCCATGTCCATGTCCACGTCCATGTCCACGACCACGTCCATGTCCACGTCCAAGTCCTCCACGTCCATGTCCACGTCCACGTCCACGTCCACGTCCACGTCCATGTCCACGTCCACGTCCACGTCCACGTCCACGTCCACGTCCATGTCCATGTCCATGTCCATGTCCACGTCCACGTCCATGTCCACGTCCACGTCCACGTCCATGTCCATGTCCATATCCATGTCCATGTCCACGTCCACGTCCACGTCCATGTCCACGTCCACGTCCACGTCCATGTCCACGTCCGCGTCCACGTCCATGTCCACGTCCGCGTCCACGTCCATGTCCACGTCCGCGTCCACGTCCATATCCACGTCCGCGTCCACGTCCATGTCCACATCCGCGTCCACGTCCATGTCCACGTCCATGTCCGCGTCCATGTCCATGTCCGCGTCCATGTCTATGTCCACGTCCACGTCCACGTTCGCGTCCACGTCCACGTCTACGTCCGTGTCCACGTCCACGTCCACGTCCACGTCCACGTCCACGTCCATGTCCATGTCCACGTCCACATCCATTTCCATGTCCGCGTCCACGTCCGCGTCCGCGTCCACGTCCGCGTCCACGTCCATGTCCACGTCCACGTCCACGTCCATGTCCACGTCAACGTCCGCGTCCACGTCCACGTCCACGTCCGCGTCCGCGTCCACGTCCACGTCCACGTCCGCGTCCACGTCCAGGTCCACGTCCACGTCCATCCACGTCCACGTCCACGTCCGCGTCCACGTCCGCGTCCATGTCCACGTCCACGTCCACGTCCACGTCCACGTCCTCGTCCATATCCATGTCCATGTCCATGTCCATGTCCATGTCCACGACCACGTCCACGTCCATGTCCACGTCCACGTCCTCCACGTCCATGTCCACATCCATATCCACGTCCACGTCCACGTCCACATCCACGTCCACGTCCACGTCCACGTCCACGTCCACGTCCACGTCCACGTTCACGTCCACGTCCATGTCCATGTCCATGTCCATGTCCATGTCCACGTCCACGTCCATGTCCACGTCCACGTCCATGTCCACGTCCGCGTCCACGTCCATGTCCACGTCCGCGTCCACGTCCATGTCCACGTCCGCGTCCACGTCCATGTCCACGTCCGCGTCCACGTCCACGTCCATGTCCACGTCCATGTCCGCGTCCATGTCCATGTCCGCGTCCATGTCTATGTCCACGTCCACGTTCGCGTCCACGTCCACGTCCACGTCCGTGTCCACGTCCACGTCCACGTCCACGTCCACGTCCATGTCCATGTCCACGTCCACATCCATGTCCATGTTCGCGTCCACGTCCAGGTCCACGTCCACGTCCACGTCCACGTCCAGGTCCACGTCCACGTCCACGTCCACCTCCACCTCCACGTCCACCTCCACCTCCACGACCACCTCCACGTCCACGTCCACTTCCACCTCCACATCCACGTCCACGTCCACGTCCGCCTCCACGTCCACGTCCACGTCCGCGTCCATGTCCATGTCCACGTCCACATCCACGTCCGCGTCCACGTCCACGTCCACGTCCGCGTCCACGTCCACGTCCACGTCCGCGTCCACGTCCATGTCCACGTCCACGTCCATCCACGTCCATGTCCACGTCCATGTCCATGTCCACGTCCACGTCCACGTCCGTGTCCACGTCCATGTCCACGTCCATGTCCATGTCCATGTCCACGTCCTTGTCCACGACCACGTCCATGTCCACGTCCAAGTCCTCCACGTCCATGTCCACGTCCATGTCCACGTCCATGTCCACGTCCACGTCCACGTCCACGTCCACGTCCATGTCCACGTCCATGTCCACGTCCACGTCCACGTCCATGTCCCCGTCCACGTCCACGTCCACGTCCGCGTCCACCTCCACGTCTACGTCCACGTCCACGTCCGCGTCCATCCACGTCCACGTCCACGTCCACGTCCGCGTCCACGTCCACGTCCACGTCCACGTCCGCGTCCATCCACGCCCACGTCCACGTCCACGTCCGCGTCCACGTCCAGGTCCATGTCCACGTCCACGTCCACGTCCACGTCCATGTCCACGTCCAAGGCCACGTCCACGTCCACGTCCACGTCCATGTCCACGTCCACGTCCATGTCCACGTCCATGTCCATGTCCATGTCCACGTCCATGTCCATGTCCATGTCTACGTCCGGTTCCACGTCCACGTCCGCGTCCATGTCCACGTCTATGTCCACATCCACGTCCACGTCCATGTCCATGTCCATGTCCATGTTCACGTCCATGTCCACGACCACGTCCATGTCCACGTCCAAGTCCTCCACGTCCATGTCCACGTCCATGTTCACGTCCACGTCCACGTCCACGTCCATGTTCACGTCCACGTCCACGTCCACGTCCACGTCCATGTCCACGTCCACGTCCACGTCCACGTCCATGTCCACGTCGACGTCCACGTCGACGTCCACATCCACATCCACGTCCATGTCCACGTCCACGACCACGTCCACGTCCACGTCCACGTCCACGTCTACGTCCACGTTCACGTCCACGTCCACGTCCACGTCCACGTCACGTCCACGTCCACGTCCACGTCCATGTCCACGTCCACGTCCACGTCCACTTGCACGTCCGCGTCCACGTCCGCGTCCATGTCCACGTCCGCATCCAGGTCCACGTCCATATCCATGTCCATGTCCATGTCCACGTCCATGTCCACGACCACGTCCATGTCCACGTCCAAGTCCTCCACGTCCATGTCCACGTCCATGTCCACGTCCACGTCCACGTCCACGTCCATGTCCACGTCCACGTCCACGTCCACGTCCATGTCCACGTCCACGTCCACGTCCACGTCCACGTCCACGTCCACGTCCATGTCCATGTCCACGTCCACGTCCATGTCCACGTCCACGTCCACGTCCACGTCCACGTCCATGTCCATATCCATGTCCATGTCCATGTCCACGTCCACGTCCACGTCCATGTCCACGTCCACGTCCACGTCCATGTCCACGTCCACGTCCACGTCCATGTCCACGTCCACGTCCACGTCCGCGTCCACGTCCACGTCCACGTCCGCGTCCACGTCCATGTCCACGTCCGCGTCCACGTCCATGTCCACGTCCGCGTCCACGTCCAGGTCCACGTCCGCGTCCACGTCCAGGTCCACGTCCGCGTCCACGTCCACGTCCACGTCCGCGTCCACGTCCGCGTCCACGTCCACGTCCACGCCCGCGTCCACGTCCACGTCCACGTCCGCGTCCACGTCCACGTCCACGTCCGCGTCCACGTCCACGTCCGCGTCCGCGTCCACGTCCACGTCCGCGTCCACGTCCACGTCCACATCCGCGTCCGCGTCCACGTCCACGTCCACGTCCGCGTCCACGTCCACGTCCACGTCCACGTCCACGTCCACGTCCATGTCCATGTCCACGTCCACGTCCATGTCCATGTCCACGTACACATCCATGTCCATGTCCGCGTCCACGTCCGCGTCCACGTCCACGTCCACGTCCACGTCTGGGTCCACGTCCACGTCCACCTCCACCTCCACGTCCACCTTCACCTCCACGTCCACCTCCACGTCCATGTCCACGTCCACGACCACGTCCACGTCCACGTCCACGTCCACGTCCACCTCCACGTCCACGTCCACGTCCACGTCCACGTCCGCGTCCACGTCCATGTCCACGTCCACATCCACGTCCGCGTCCACGTCCACGTCCACGTCCGCGTCCACGTCCATGTCCACGTCCACGTCCATCCACGTCCACGTCCACGTCCACGTCCACGTCCATGTCCATGTCCACGTCCACGTCCACGTCCACGTCCAGGTCCACGTCCACGTCCATGTCCACGTCCACGTCCACGTCCACGTCCGCGTCCACGTCCACGTTCACGTCCACGTCCACGTCCACATCCGCGTCCACGTCCATGTCCACGTCCCCGCCTATCCACGTCCACGTCCACGTCCACGTCCACGTCCGTGTCCACGTCCATGTCCACGTCCATGTCCATGTCCATGTCCACGTCCATGTCCACGACCACGTCCATGTCCACGTCCAAGTCCTCCACGTCCATGTCCACGTCCAGGTCCACGTCCACGTCCACGTCCACGTCCACGTCCACGTCCACGTCCACGTCCAGGTCCACGTCGACGTCCACGTCCACGTCCACGTCCACGTCGACGTCGACGTCCACGTCCACGTCCACGTCCACGTCCACGACCACGTCCACGACCATGTCCACGTCCATGTCCACGTCCACGTCCACGTCCACGTCCACATCCATGTCCACGTCCATGTCCACGTCCACGTCCACGTCCACGTCCACGTCCACGACCACGTCCACGTCCACGTCCAAGTTCTCCACGTCCACGTCCACGTCCACGTCCACGTCCACGTCTACGTCCACGTCCACGTCCACGTCCATGTCCACGTCCAAGTCCTCCACGTCCACGTCCACGACCACGTCCACGTCCATGTCCACGTCCATGTCCACGTCCACGTCCACGTCCACGTCCACATCCACGTCCACGTCCATGTCCACGTCCATGTCCACGTCCACGTCCACGTTCACGTCCACGTCCACGTCCACGTCCACGTCCCTGTCCATGTCCCTGTCCACATCCACGTCCACGTCCACGTCCACGTCCACGTCCATGTCCACGTCCATGTCCACGTCCACGTCCACGTCCACGTCCATGTCCACGTCCATGTCCCTGTCCACGTCCACGTCCGCGTCCACGTCCACGTCCACGTCCGCGTCCACGTCCACGTCCACGTCCACGTCCACGTCCGCGTCCATCCACGTCCACGTCCACGTCCGCGTCCACGTTCACGTCCACGTCCACGTCCGCGTCCACGTCCACGTCCATGTCCACGTCCACGTCCATGTCCATGTCCACGTCCACGTCCATGTCCACGTCCACGTCCACGTCCACGTCCACGTCCACGTCCACGTCCACGTCCGCGTCCATGTCCACGTCCATGTCCATGACCACGTCCATGTCCACGACCACGTCCATGTCCACGTCCAAGTCCTCCACATCCATGTCCACGTCCATGTCCACGTCCACGTCCACGTCCACGTCCATGTCCACGTCCACGTCCACGTCCATGTCCACGACCACGTCCACGTCCACGTCCACGTCGACGTCGATGCCACGTCCACGTCCACGTCCACGTCCACGTCCACGTCCACGACCACGTCCACGTCCACGTCCACGTCCACGACCACGTCCACGTCCACGTCCAGGTCCACGTCCACGTCCACGGTCCATGTCCACGTCCACGTCCAGGTCCACGTCCACGACCACGTCCACGTCCACGTCCAAGTCCTCCACATCCATGTCCACGTCCATGTCCACGTCCACGTCCACGTCCACGTCCATGTCCACGTCCACGTCCACGTCCATGTCCACGTCCACGTCCACGTCCACGTCCACGTCCACGTCCACGTCGACGTCGATGCAACGTCCACGTCCACGTCCACGTCCACGTCCACGTCCACGACCACGTCCACGTCCACGTCCACGTCCACGACCACGTCCACGTCCACGTCCAGGTCCACGTCCACGTCCACGGTCCATGTCCACGTCCACGTCCAGGTCCACGTCCACGACCACGTCCACGTCCACGTTCACGTCCACGACCAAGTCCACGACCATGTCCACGTCCACGTCCACGTCCACGTCCATGTCCATGTCCACGTCCAAGTCCTCCACGTCCACGTCCACGTCCACGTCCACGACCACGTCCACGTCCACGTCCACGTCCACGTCCAAGTCCTCCACGTCCACGTCCACGTCCACGTCCACGTCTACGTCCACGTCCACGTCCATCTCCACGTCCATGTCCACGTCCAAGTCCTCCACGTCCACGTCCACGACCACGTCCACGTCCATGTCCACGTCCATGTCCACGTCCACGTCCACGTCCACGTCCACGTCCATGTCCACGTCCATGTCCACGTCCACGTCCACGTCCATGTCCCCGTCCACGTCCACGTCCGCGTCCACCTCCACGTCCACGTCCACGTCCACGTCCGCGTCCATCCACGTCCACGTCCACGTCCTCGTCCGCGTCCACGTCCACGTCCACGTCCACGTCCGCGTCCATCCACGCCCACGTCCACGTCCACGTCCGCGTCCACGTCCACGCCCACGTCCACGACCACGTCCACGACCATGTCCACGTCCATGTCCACGTCCACGTCCACGTCCACGTCCATGTCCACGTCCAAGGCCACGTCCACGTCCACGTCCACGTCCATGTCCACGTCCACGTCCACGTCCATGTCCACGTCCATGTCCATGTCCATGTCCACGTCCATGTCCATGTCCATGTCTACGTCCAGTTCCACGTCCACGTCCGCGTCCATGTCCACGTCCATGTCCACATCCACGTCCACGTCCATGTCCATGTCCATGTCCATGTTCACGTCCATGTCCACGACCACGTCCATGTCCACGTCCAAGTCCTCCACGTCCATGTCCACGTCCATGTTCACGTCCACGTCCACGTCCATGTTCACGTCCACGTCCACGTCCACGTCCACGTCCATGTCCACGTCCACGTCCACGTCCACGTCCATGTCCACGTCGACGTCCACGTCGACGTCCACATCCACATCTACGTCCATGTCCACGTCCACGACCACGTCCACGTCCACGTCCACGTCCACGTTCACGTCCACGTCCACGTCCACGTCCACGTCACGTCCACGTCCACGTCCACGTCCATGTCCACGTCCACGTCCTTCCACGTCCACGTCCACTTGCACGTCCGCGTCCACGTCCGCGTCCATGTCCACGTCCGCGTCCACGTCCACGTCCATATCCATGTCCATGTCCATGTCCACGTCCATGTCCACGACCACGTCCATGTCCACGTCCAAGTCCTCCACGTCCATGTCCACGTCCATGTCCACGTCCACGTCCACGTCCACGTCCATGTCCACGTCCACGTCCACGTCCACGTCCATGTCCACGTCCACGTCCACGTCCACGTCCACGTCCACGTCCATGTCCATGTCCATGTCCATGTCCATGTCCACGTCCACGTCCATGTCCACGTCCACGTCCACGTCCACGTCCACGTCCACGTCCATGTCCATGTCCATATCCATGTCCATGTCCATGTCCACGTCCACGTCCACGTCCATGTCCACGTCCACGTCCACATCCATGTCCACGTCCACGTCCACGTCCATGTCCACGTCCGCGTCCACGTCCACGTCCACGTCCGCGTCCGCGTCCACGTCCACGTCCGCGTCCGCGTCCACGTCCACGTCCACGTCCGCGTCCACGTCCACGTCCACGTCCGCGTCCACGTCCACGTCCACGTCCGCGTCCACGTCCAGGTCCACGTCCGCGTCCACGTCCAGGTCCACGTCCACGTCCACGTCCACGTCCGCGTCCACGTCCAGGTCCACGTCCGCGTCCACGTCCACGTCCACGTCCACGTCCGCGTCCACGTCCACGTCCACGTCCACGTCCATGTCCACGTCCGCGTCCACGTCCACGTCCACGTCCGCGTCCACGTCCACGTCCACGTCCGCGTCCGCGTCCACGTCCACGTCCGCGTCCGCGTCCACGTCCACGTCCACGTCCGCGTCCGCGTCCACGTCCACGTCCACGTCCGCGTCCACGTCCACGTCCACGTCCGCGTCCACGTCCACGTCCGCGTCCACGTCCGCGTCCACGTCCACGTCCACGTCCACATCCACGTCCACGTCCACGTCCACGTCCACGTCCATGTCCACGTCGACGTCCACGTCGACGTCCACATCCACATCTACGTCCATGTCCACGTCCACGACCACGTCCACGTCCACGTCCACGTCCACGTTCACGTCCACGTCCACGTCCACGTCCACGTCACGTCCACGTCCACGTCCACGTCCATGTCCACGTCCACGTCCTTCCACGTCCACGTCCACTTGCACGTCCGCGTCCACGTCCGCGTCCATGTCCACGTCCGCGTCCACGTCCACGTCCATATCCATGTCCATGTCCATGTCCACGTCCATGTCCACGACCACGTCCATGTCCACGTCCAAGTCCTCCACGTCCATGTCCACGTCCATGTCCACGTCCACGTCCACGTCCACGTCCATGTCCACGTCCACGTCCACGTCCACGTCCATGTCCACGTCCACGTCCACGTCCACGTCCACGTCCACGTCCATGTCCATGTCCATGTCCATGTCCATGTCCACGTCCACGTCCATGTCCACGTCCACATCCACGTCCACGTCCACGTCCACGTCCATGTCCATGTCCATATCCATGTCCATGTCCATGTCCACGTCCACGTCCACGTCCATGTCCACGTCCACGTCCACATCCATGTCCACGTCCACGTCCATGTCCACGTCCGCGTCCACGTCCACGTCCACGTCCGCGTCCGCGTCCACGTCCACGTCCGCGTCCGCGTCCACGTCCACGTCCACGTCCGCGTCCGGGTCCACGTCCACGTCCACGTCCACGTCCACGTCCACGTCCGCGTCCACGTCCAGGTCCACGTCCACGTCCACGTCCACGTCCACGTCCGCGTCCACGTCCAGGTCCACGTCCGCGTCCACGTCCACGTCCACGTCCACGTCCGCGTCCACGTCCACGTCCACGTCCACGTCCATGTCCACGTCCGCGTCCACGTCCACGTCCACGTCCGCGTCCACGTCCACGTCCACGTCCGCGTCCGCGTCCACGTCCACGTCCGCGTCCGCGTCCACGTCCACGTCCACGTCCACGTCCGCGTCCGCGTCCACGTCCACGTCCACGTCCGCGTCCACGTCCACGTCCACGTCCACGTCCGCGTCCACGTCCACGTCCGCGTCCACGTCCGCGTCCACGTCCACGTCCACGTCCACATCCACGTCCACGTCCACGTCCACGTCCACGTCCACGTCCATGTCCATGTCCACGTACACATCCAGGTCCATGTCCGCGTCCACGTCCGCGTCCACGTCCACGTCCACGTCCACGTCTGGGTCCACGTCCACGTCCACCTCCACCTCCACGTCCACCTTCACCTCCACGTCCACCTCCACGTCCATGTCCACGTCCACGACCACGTCCGCGTCCACGTCCACGTCCACGTCCGCGTCCACGTCCATGTCCACGTCCACGTCCATCCACGTCCACGTCCACGTCCACGTCCATGTCCATGTCCACGTCCACGTCCACGTCCACGTCCACGTCCACGTCCACGTCCACGTCCACGTCCACGTCCGCGTCCGCGTCCACGTCCACGTCCACGTCCGCGTCCACGTCCACGTCCACGTCCACGTCCGCGTCCACGTCCACGTCCACGTCCACGTCCACGTCCGCGTCCACGTCCATGTCCACGTCCCCGCCTATCCACGTCCACGTCCACGTCCACGTCCACGTCCACGTCCACGTCCATGTCCACGTCCAAGTCCTCCACGTCCACGTCCACGACCACGTCCACGTCCATGTCCACGTCCATGTCCACGTCCACGTCCATGTCCACGTCCACGTCCACGTCCACGTCCATGTCCACATCCATGTCCACGTCCACGTCCACGTCCACGTCCATGTCCACGTCCATGTCCCCGTCCACGTCCGCGTCCACGTCCACGTCCAGGTCCACGTCCACGTCCGCGTCCATCCACGTCCACGTCCACGTCCACTTCCGCGTCCACGTCCACGTCCACGTCCACGTCCATGTCCACGTCCACGTCCACGTCCACGTCCACGTCCATGTCCCCGTCCATGTCCATGTCCATGTCCACGTCCACGTCCACGTCCATGTCCACGTCCACGTCCACGTCCACGTCCGCGTCCATGTCCACGTCCATGTCCATGTTCATGTCCATGTGCACGTCCATGTCCACGACCACGTCCATGTCCACGTCCAAGTCCTCCACGTCCATGTCCACGTCCATGTCCACGTCCACGTCCACGTCCACGTCCACATCCACGTCCATGTCCACGTCCACGTCCACGTCCACGTCCACGTCGACGTCGATGCCACGTCCACGTCCACGTCCATGTCCACGTCCACGTCAACGTCCACGTCCACGTCCACGTCCACGTCCACGACCACGTCCACGTCTACGTCCACGTCCACGTCCACGACCACGTCCACGTCCACGTCCAGGTCCACGTCCACGTCCACAGTCCATGTCCACGTCCACGTCCAGGTCTACGTCCACGACCACGTCCACGTCCACGTCCACGACCACGTCCACGACCATGTCCACGTCCACGTCCACGACCACGTCCACGTCCACGTCCAGGTCCACGTCCACGTCCACGATCCATGTCCACGTCCACGTCCAGGTCCACGACCACGTCCACGTCCACGTCCACGACCACGTCCACGACCATGTCCACGTCCACGTCCACGTCCACGTCCACGTCCATGTCCACGTCCAAGTCCTCCACGTCCACATCCACGTCCACGTCCACGACCACGTCCACGTCCACGTCCACGTCCACGACCACGTCCACGTCCACGTCCAAGTCGTCCACGTCCACGTCCACGTCCACGTCTACGTCCACGTCCACGTCCATGTCCACGTCCATGTCCACGTCCACGTCCATGTCCACGTCCACGTCCACGTCCACGTCCACGTCCATGTCCCCGTCCACGTCCACGTCCGCGTCCACGTCTACGTCCACGTCCACGTCCACGTCCACGTCCGCGTCCATCCACGTCCACGTCCGCGTCCACGTCCGCGTCCACGTCCACGTCCACGTCCACGTCCGCGTCCATCCACGTCCACGTCCGCGTCCACGTCCGCGTCCACGTCCACGTCCACGTCCACGTCCGCGTCCATCCACGTCCACGTCCGCGTCCACGTCCACGTCGGATTCCACGTCCACGTCCAGGTCCACGTCCATGTCCACATCCACGTCCACGTCCACGTCCATGTCCACGTCCAAGGCCACGTCCACGTCCACGTCCATGTCCACGTCCACGTCCACGTCCATGTCCACGTCCATGTCCATGTCCATGTCCATGTCCACGTCCATGTCCATGTCCATGTCTACGTCCAGTTCCACGTCCACGTCCGCGTCCATGTCCACGTCCACGTCCGCGTCCATGTCCACGTCCATGTCCACGTCCACGTCCACGTCCATGTCCATGTCCATGTCCATGTCCACGTCCATGTCCAAGTCCTCCACGTCCATGTCCACGTCCAAGTCCTCCACGTCCATGTCCACGTCCAAGTTCACGTCCACGTCCACGTCCACGTCCACGTCCACGTCCACGTCCATGTCCACGTCCACGTCCACGTCCACGTCCACGTCCACGACCACGTCCACGTCCACGTCCACGTCCACGTCCACGACCACGTCCACGTCCACGTCCAGGTCCACGTCCACGTCCAGGTCTACGTCCACGACCACGTCCACGTCCACGTCCACGACCACGTCCACGACCATGTCCACGTCCACGTCCATGTCCACGTCCACGTCCACGTCCACGTCCACGTCCACGTCCACGACCACGTCCACGTCCATGTCCACGTCCACGTCCACGACCACGTCCACGTCCACGTCCAGGTCCACGTCCACGTCCAGGTCTACGTCCACGACCACGTCCACGTCCACGTCCACGACCACGTCCACGACCATGTCCACGTCCACGTCCACGTCCACGTCCACGTCCATGTCTACGTCCAAGTCCTCCACGTCCACGTCCACGTCCACGTCCACGTCCATGTCCAAGTCCTCGTCCACGACCACGTCCACGTCCACGTCCACGTCTACGTCCACGTCCAGGTCCATGTCCACGTCCATGTCCACGTCCAAGTCCTCCACGTCCACGTCCACGACCACGTCCACGACCATGTCCACGTCCATGTCCACGTCCACGTCCACGTCCACGTCCACGTCCACGTCCACGTCCATGTCCACGTCCATGTCCACGTCCATGTCCACGTCCATGTCCACGTCCATGTCCACGTACACGTCCACGTCCACGTCCATGTCCACGTCCATGTCCCCGTCCACGTCCATGTCCGCGTCCACGTCCACGTCCACGTCCACGTCCACGTCCGCGTCCATCCACGTCCACGTCCACGTCCGCGTCCACGTCCACGTCCGCGTCCATCCACGTCCACGTCCACGTCCACGTCCATGTCCGCGTCCACGTCCACGTCCACGTCCACGTCCAGGTCCACGTCCATGTCCACGTCCACGTCCACGTCCACGTCCATGTCCACGTCCAAGGCCACGTCCACGTCCACGTCCACGTCCATGTCCACGTCCAAGGCCACGTCCACGTCCACGTCCACGTCCATGTCCACGTCCACGTCCACGTCCATGTCCACGTCCATGTCCATGTCCATGTCCATGTCCACGTCCATGTCCATGTCCATGTCTACGTCCAGTTCCACGTCCACGTCCGCGTCCATGTCCACGTCCACGTCCACGTCCACGTCCGCGTCCACGTCCATGTCCACGTCCACGTCCATCCACGTCCACGTCCACGTCCACGTCCATGTCCATGTCCACGTCCACGTCCACGTCCACGTCCAGGTCCACGTCCACGTCCACGTCCACGTCCAAGTCCATGTCCACGTACACGTCCACGTCCACGTCCATGTCCACGTCCACGTCCACGTCCATGTCCACGTCGACGTCGATGCCACGTCCACGTCCACGTCCATGTCCACGTCGATGCCACGTCCACGTCCACGTCCACGACCACGTCCACGTCCACATCCACGTCCACGACCACGTCCACGTCCACGTCCAGGTCCACGTCCACGTCCAGGTCTACGTCCACGTCCACGTCCACGTCCACGTCCACGTCCATGTCCATGTCCACGTCCACGTCCACGTCCACGTCCACGTCCACGTCCACGTCCACGTCCATGTCCACGTCCACGTCCACGTCCATGTCCACGTCCACGTCCACGTCCACGTCCACGTCCCGTCCGCGTCCGCGTCCACGTCCACGTCCACGTCCGCGTCCACGTCCACGTCCACGTCCACGTCCGCGTCCGCGTCCACGTCCACGTCCACGTCCACGTCCACGTCCGCGTCCACGTCCATGTCCACGTCCCCGCCTATCCACGTCCACGTCCACGTCCACGTCCACGTCCACGTCCACGTCCATGTCCACGTCCAAGTCCTCCACGTCCACGTCCACGACCACGTCCACGTCCATGTCCACGTCCATGTCCACGTCCACGTCCATGTCCACGTCCACGTCCACGTCCACGTCCATGTCCATGTCCATGTCCACGTCCACGTCCACGTCCACGTCCATGTCCACGTCCATGTCCCCGTCCACGTCCGCGTCCACGTCCACGTCCACGTCCAGGTCCACGTCCACGTCCGCGTCCATCCACGTCCACGTCCACGTCCACTTCCGCGTCCACGTCCACGTCCACGTCCACGTCCATGTCCACGTCCACGTCCACGTCCACGTCCACGTCCATGTCCCCGTCCATGTCCATGTCCATGTCCACGTCCACGTCCACGTCCATGTCCACGTCCACGTCCACGTCCACGTCCGCGTCCATGTCCACGTCCATGTCCATGTTCATGTCCATGTGCACGTCCATGTCCACGACCACGTCCATGTCCACGTCCAAGTCCTCCACGTCCATGTCCACGTCCATGTCCACGTCCACGTCCACGTCCACGTCCACATCCACGTCCATGTCCACGTCCACGTCCACGTCCACGTCCACGTCGACGTCGATGCCACGTCCACGTCCACGTCCATGTCCACGTCCACGTCAACGTCCACGTCCACGTCCACGTCCACGTCCACGACCACGTCCACGTCTACGTCCACGTCCACGTCCACGACCACGTCCACGTCCACGTCCAGGTCCACGTCCACGTCCACAGTCCATGTCCACGTCCACGTCCAGGTCTACGTCCACGACCACGTCCACGTCCACGTCCACGACCACGTCCACGACCATGTCCACGTCCACGTCCACGACCACGTCCACGTCCACGTCCAGGTCCACGTCCACGTCCACGGTCCATGTCCACGTCCACGTCCAGGTCCACGACCACGTCCACGTCCACGTCCACGACCACGTCCACGACCATGTCCACGTCCACGTCCACGTCCACGTCCACGTCCATGTCCACGTCCAAGTCCTCCACGTCCACATCCACGTCCACATCCACGACCACGTCCACGTCCACGTCCACGTCCACGACCACGTCCACGTCCACGTCCAAGTCGTCCACGTCCACGTCCACGTCCACGTCTACGTCCACGTCCACGTCCATGTCCACGTCCATGTCCACGTCCACGTCCATGTCCACGTCCACGTCCACGTCCACGTCCACGTCCATGTCCCCGTCCACGTCCACGTCCGCGTCCACGTCCACGTCCACGTCCACGTCCACGTCCGCGTCCATCCACGTCCACGTCCGCGTCCACGTCCGCGTCCACGTCCACGTCCACGTCCACGTCCGCGTCCATCCACGTCCACGTCCGCGTCCACGTCCGCGTCCACGTCCACGTCCACGTCCACGTCCGCGTCCATCCACGTCCACGTCCGCGTCCACGTCCACGTCGGATTCCACGTCCACGTCCAGGTCCACGTCCATGTCCACGTCCACGTCCACGTCCACGTCCATGTCCACGTCCAAGGCCACGTCCACGTCCACGTCCATGTCCACGTCCACGTCCACGTCCATGTCCACGTCCATGTCCATGTCCATGTCCATGTCCACGTCCATGTCCATGTCCATGTCTACGTCCAGTTCCACGTCCACGTCCGCGTCCATGTCCACGTCCACGTCCGCGTCCATGTCCACGTCCATGTCCACGTCCACGTCCACGTCCATGTCCATGTCCATGTCCATGTCCACGTCCATGTCCAAGTCCTCCACGTCCATGTCCACGTCCAAGTCCTCCACGTCCATGTCCACGTCCATGTTCACGTCCACGTCCACGTCCACGTCCAAGTCCATGTCCACGTACACGTCCACGTCTACGTCCATGTCCACGTCCACGTCCACGTCCACGTCCACGTCCATGTCCACGTCCACGTCCACGTCCACGTCCACGTCCACGTCCACGACCACGTCCACGTCCACGTCCACGTCCACGTCCACGACCACGTCCACGTCCACGTCCAGGTCCACGTCCACGTCCAGGTCTACGTCCACGACCACGTCCACGTCCACGTCCACGACCACGTCCACGACCATGTCCACGTCCACGTCCACGTCCATGTCCACGTCCACGTCCACGTCCACGTCCACGTCCACGACCACGTCCACGTCCATGTCCACGTCCACGTCCACGTCCACGACCACGTCCACGTCCACGTCCAGGTCCACGTCCACGTCCAGGTCTACGTCCACGACCACGTCCACGTCCACGTCCACGACCACGTCCACGACCATGTCCACGTCCACGTCCACGTCCACGTCCACGTCCATGTCCACGTCCAAGTCCTCCACGTCCACGTCCACGTCCACGTCCACGTCCATGTCCAAGTCCTCGTCCACGACCACGTCCACGTCCACGTCCACGTCTACGTCCACGTCCAGGTCCATGTCCACGTCCATGTCCACGTCCAAGTCCTCCACGTCCACGTCCACGACCACGTCCACGACCATGTCCACGTCCATGTCCACGTCCACGTCCACGTCCACGTCCACGTCCACGTCCACGTCCATGTCCACGTCCATGTCCACGTCCATGTCCACGTCCATGTCCACGTCCATGTCCACGTCCATGTCCACGTACACGTCCACGTCCACGTCCATGTCCACGTCCATGTCCCCGTCCACGTCCATGTCCGCGTCCACGTCCACGTCCACGTCCACGTCCACGTCCGCGTCCATCCACGTCCACGTCCACGTCCGCGTCCACGTCCACGTCCGCGTCCATCCACGTCCACGTCCACGTCCACGTCCATGTCCGCGTCCACGTCCACGTCCACGTCCACGTCCAGGTCCACGTCCATGTCCACGTCCACGTCCACGTCCACGTCCATGTCCACGTCCAAGGCCACGTCCACGTCCACGTCCACGTCCATGTCCACGTCCAAGGCCACGTCCACGTCCACGTCCACGTCCATGTCCACGTCCACGTCCACGTCCATGTCCACGTCCATGTCCATGTCCATGTCCATGTCCACGTCCATGTCCATGTCCATGTCTACGTCCAGTTCCACGTCCACGTCCGCGTCCATGTCCACGTCCACGTCCACGTCCACGTCCGCGTCCACGTCCATGTCCACGTCCACGTCCATCCACGTCCACGTCCACGTCCACGTCCACGTCCATGTCCATGTCCACGTCCACGTCCACGTCCACGTCCAGGTCCACGTCCACGTCCACGTCCACGTCCAAGTCCATGTCCACGTACACGTCCACGTCCACGTCCATGTCCACGTCCACGTCCACGTCCACGTCGACGTCGATGCCACGTCCACGTCCACGTCCATGTCCACGTCCACGTCCACATCCACGTCCACGTCCACGACCACGTCCACGTCCACGTCCACGTCCACGACCACGTCCACGTCCACGTCCAGGTCCACGTCCACGTCCAGGTCTACGTCCACGAACACGTCCACGTCCACGTCCACGTCCACGACCACGTCCACGACCATGTCCACCTCCACGTCCACGTCCACGTCCACGACCATGTCCACGTCCATGTCCACGTCCACGTCCACGTCCACGTCCACGTCCACGACCACGTCCACGTCCACGTCCAGGTCCACGTCCACGTCCAGGTCTACGTCCACGACCACGTCCACGTCCACGTCCACGACCACGTCCACGACCATGTCCACGTCCACGTCCACGTCCACGTCCATGTCCACGTCCAAGTCCTCCACGTCCACGTCCACGTCCACGTCCACGTCCATGTCCAAGTCCTCGTCCATGACCACGTCCACGTCCACGTCCACGTCTACGTCCACGTCCACGTCCATGTCCACGTCCATGTCCACGTCCAAGTCCTCCACGTCCACGTCCACGACCACGTCCACGTCCATGTCCACGTCCATGTCCACGTCCACGTCCATGTCCACGTCCACATCCACGTCCACGTCCATGTCCACGTCCATGTCCACGTCCATGTCCACGTCCATGTCCACGTACACGTCCACGTCCACGTCCATGTCCACGTCCATGTCCCCGTCCACGTCCACGTCCGCGTCCACGTCCACGTCCACGTCCACGTCCACGTCCGCGTCCATCCACGTCCACGTCCACGTCCGCGTCCACGTCCACGTCCGCGTCCATCCACGTCCACGTCCACGTCCGCGTCCACGTCCACGTCCGCGTCCATCCACGTCCACGTCCACGTCCACGTCCACGTCCGCGTCCACGTCCACGTCCACGTCCACGTCCACGTCCAGGTCCACGTCCACGTCCACGTCCACGTCCATGTCCACGTCCAAGGCCACGTCCACGTCCACGTCCACGTCCATGTCCACGTCCAAGGCCACGTCCACGTCCACGTCCACGTCCATGTCCACGTCCACGTCCACGTCCATGTCCACGTCCATGTCCATGTCCATGTCCATGTCCACGTCCATGTCCATGTCCATGTCTACGTCCAGTTCCACGTCCACGTCCGCGTCCATGTCCACGTCCACGTCCACGTCCACGTCCGCGTCCACGTCCATGTCCACGTCCACGTCCATCCACGTCCACGTCCACGTCCACGTCCACGTCCATGTCCATGTCCACGTCCACGTCCACGTCCACGTCCAGGTCCACGTCCACGTCCATGTCCACGTCCACGTCCACGTCCACGTCCGCGTCCACGTCCACGTCCACGTCCACGTCCACGTCCGCGTCCACGTCCATGTCCACGTCCCCGCCTATCCACGTCCACGTCCACGTCCACGTCCACGTCCATGTCCACGTCCAAGTCCTCCACGTCCACGTCCACGACCACGTCCACGTCCACGTCCATGTCCACGTCCACGTCCATGTCCACGTCCACGTCCACGTCCATGTCCACGTCCACGTCCACGTCCACGTCCATGTCCACGTCCATGTCCACGTCCACGTCCACGTCCACGTCCATGTCCACGTCCATGTCCTCGTCCACGTCCGCGTCCACGTCCACGTCCACGTCCAGGTCCACGTCCGCGTCCGCGTCCATCCACGTCCACGTCCACGTCCACTTCCGCGTCCATCCACGTCCACGTCCACGTCCACTTCCGCGTCCACGTCCACGTCCACGTCCATGTCCACGTCCACGTCCACGTCCACGTCCACGTCCATGTCCCCGTCCATGTCCATGTCCATGTCCACGTCCACGTCCACGTCCATGTCCACGTCCACGTCCACGTCCACGTCCGCGTCCACGTCCGCGTCCATGTCCACGTCCATGTCCATGTTCACGTCCATGTGCACGTCCATGTCCACGACCACGTCCATGTCCACGTCCAAGTCCACGTCCATGTCCACGTCCACGTCCACGTCCACGTCCACATCCACGTCCATGTCCACGTCCACGTCCATGTCCACGTCCACGTCGACGTCCACGTCCACGTCCACGTCCACGTCCACGACCACGTCCACGTCTACGTCCACGTCCACGTCCACGACCACGTCCACGTCCACGTCCAGGTCCACGTCCACGTCCACAGTCCATGTCCACGTCCACGTCCAGGTCTACGTCCACGACCACGTCCACGTCCACGTCCACGACCACGTCCACGACCATGTCCACGTCCACGTCCACGACCACGTCCACGTCCACGTCCAGGTCCACATCCACGTCCACGGTCCATGTCCACGTCCACGTCCAGGTCCACGACCACGTCCACGTCCACGTCCACGACCACGTCCACGACCATGTCCACGTCCACGTCCACGTCCACGTCCACGTCCATGTCCACGTCCAAGTCCTCCACGTCCACGTCCACGTCCACGTCCACGACCACGTCCACGTCCACGTCCACGTCCACGACCACGTCCACGTCCACGTCCAAGTCGTCCACGTCCACGTCCACGTCCACGTCTACGTCCACGTCCACGTCCATGTCCACGTCCATGTCCACGTCCACGTCCATGTCCACGTCCACGTCCACGTCCGCGTCCATGTCCCCGTCCACGTCCACGTCCGCGTCCACGTCCACGTCCACGTCCACGTCCACGTCCGCGTCCATCCACGTCCACGTCCGCGTCCACGTCCGCGTCCACGTCCACGTCCACGTCCACGTCCGCGTCCATCCACGTCCACGTCCGCGTCCACGTCCGCGTCCACGTCCACGTCCACGTCCACGTCCGCGTCCATCCACGTCCACGTCCGCGTCCACGTCCACGTCGGATTCCACGTCCACGTCCAGGTCCACGTCCATGTCCACGTCCACGTCCACGTCCACGTCCATGTCCACGTCCAAGGCCACGTCCACGTCCACGTCCACGTCCATGTCCACGTCCACGTCCACGTCCATGTCCACGTCCATGTCCATGTCCATGTCCATGTCCACGTCCATGTCCATGTCCATGTCTACGTCCAGTTCCACGTCCACGTCCGCGTCCATGTCCACGTTCATGTCCACGTCCACGTCCACGTCCATGTCCATGTCCATGTCCATGTCCACATCCATGTCCACGACCACGTCCATGTCCACGTCCAAGTCCTCCACGTCCATGTCCACGTCCATGTTCACGTCCACGTCCACGTCCACGTCCAAGTCCATGTCCACGTACACGTCCACGTCCACGTCCATGTCCACGTCCACGTCCACGTCCACGTCCACGTCGACGTCGATGCCACGTCCACGTCCACGTCCATGTCCACGTCCACGTCCACGTCCACGTCCACATCCACGTCCACGTCCACGACCACGTCCACGTCCACGTCCACGTCCACGTCCACGACCACGTCCACGTCCACGTCCAGGTCCACGTCCACGTCCAGGTCTACGTCCACGACCACGTCCACGTCCACGTCCACGACCACGTCCACGACCATGTCCACGTCCACGTCCACGTCCATGTCCACGTCCACGTCCACGTCCACGTCCACGACCACGTCCACGTCCACGTCCACGTCCACGTCCACGTCCACGACCACGTCCACGTCCACGTCCAGGTCCACGTCCACGTCCAGGTCTACGTCCACGACCACGACCACGTCCACGTCCATGACCACGTCCACGACCATGTCCACGTCCACGTCCACGTCCACGTCCACGTCCATGTCCACGTCCAAGTCCTCCACGTCCACGTCCACGTCCACGTCCACGTCCATGTCCACGTCCATGTCCACGTCCACGTCCATGTCCACGTCCACGTCCACGTCCATGTCCACGTCCATGTCCACGTCCACGTCCACGTCCATGTCCACGTCCATGTCCCCGTCCACGTCCACGTCCACGTCCACGTCCACGTCCGCGTCCATCCACGTCCACGTCCACGTCCACGTCCGCGTCCACGTCCACGTCCTGGTCCACGTCCATGTCCACGTCCACGTCCATGTCCACATCCATGTCCACGTCCAAGGCCACGTCCACGTCCACGTCCACGTCCATGTCCATGTCCACGTCCACGTCCATGTCCACGTCCATGTCCATGTCCATGTCCACGTCCATGTCCATGTCCATGTCTACATCCACTTCCACGTCCACGTCCGCGTCCATGTCCACGTCCATGTCCACGTCCACGTCCATGTCCACGTCCAAGTCCTCCACGTCCATGTCCATGTCCATGTTCACGTCCACGTCCACGTCCACGTCCACGTCCACGTCCACGTCCACGTCCATGTCCACGTCGACGTCCACGTCGACGTCCACGTCCACGTCCACGTCCACGTCCACGACCACGTCCACGTCCACGTCCACGTCCACGTCCACGTCCACGTCAACGTCCACGTCCACGTCCACGTCCACGTCCACGTCCACGACCACGTCCACGACCATGTCCACGTCAATGTCCATGTCCACGTCCACGTCTACGTCCATGTCCACGTCCATGTCCACGTCCAAGTCCTCCACGTCCACCTCCACGTCCACGTCCACGACCACGTCCACATCCACGTCCAAGTCCTCCACATCCACGTCCACGTCCACGTCCACTTCCACGTCTACGTCCACGTCCACGTCCATGTCCAAGTCCATGTCCACGTCCAAGTCCTCCACGTCCACGTCCACGACCACGTCCACGTCCATGTCCACGTCCATGTCCACGTCCACGTCCATGTCCACGTCCACGTCCACGTCCATGTCCACGTCCACGTCCACGTCCACGTCCATGTCCACGTCCATATCCACGTCCATGTCCACATCCACGTCCACGTCCACGTCCATGTCCCCGTCCGCGTCCACGTCCACGTCCGCGTCCACGTCCACGTCCGCGTCCATCCACGTCCACGTCCGCGTCCACGTCCACGTCTACGTCCATGTCCACGTCCATGTCCACGTCCACGTCCATGTCCATGTCCATGTCCACGTCCATGTCCACGACCACGTCCATGTCCACGTCCAAGTCCTCCACGTCCATGTCCACGTCCATGTTCACGTCCACGTCCACGTCCACGTCCACGTCCATGTCCACGTCCACGTCCACGTCCACGTCCATGTCCACGTCGACGTCCACGTCCACGTCCACGTCCACGTCCACGTCCACGACCACGTCCACGTCCACGTCCACGTCCACGTCCACGTCCACGTCCACGTCCACGTCAACGTCCACGTCCACGTCCACGTCCACGTCCACGTCCACGTCCACGACCACGTCCACGACCATGTCCACGTCAATGTCCATGTCCACGTCCACGTCTACGTCCATGTCCACGTCCATGTCCACGTCCAAGTCCTCCACGTCCACCTCCACGTCCACGTCCACGACCACGTCCACGTCCACGTCCAAGTCCTCCACATCCACGTCCACGTCCACGTCCACTTCCACGTCTACGTCCACGTCCACGTCCATGTCCAAGTCCATGTCCACGTCCAAGTCCTCCACGTCCACGTCCACGACCACGTCCACGTCCATGTCCACGTCCATGTCCACGTCCACGTCCATGTCCACGTCCACGTCCACGTCCATGTCCACGTCCACGTCCACGTCCACGTCCATGTCCACGTCCACGTCCACGTCCATGTCCACGTCCACGTCCACGTCCACGTCCATGTCCACGTCCATATCCACGTCCATGTCCACGTCCACGTCCACGTCCACGTCCATGTCCCCGTCCGCGTCCACGTCCACGTCCGCGTCCACGTCCACGTCCGCGTCCATCCACGTCCACGTCCACGTCCACGTCCGCGTCCACGTCCACGTCCACGTCCGCGTCCACGTCCACGTCCACGTCCATGTCCACGTCCACGTCCACGTCCATGTCCACGTCCACGTCCACGTCCATGTCCACGTCCACGTCCACGTCCATGTCCACGTCCACATCCACGTCCATGTCCACGTCCACATCCATGTCCACGTCCAGGTCCACGTCCACGTCCATGTCCACGTCCACGTCCACGTCCACGTCCATGTCCACGTCCATGTCCACGTCCACGTCCATGTCCACGTCCATGTCCCCGTCCACGTCCACGTCCACGTCCACGTCCGCGTCCATCCACGTCCACGTCCACGTCCACGTCCGCGTTCACGTCCACGTCCGCGTCCATCCACGTCCACGTCCACGTCCACGTCCGCGTCCACGTCCACGTCCACGTCCAGGTCCACGTCCATGTCCACGTCCACGTCCACGTCCACATCCATGTCCACGTCCAAGGCCACGTCCACGTCCACGTCCACGTCCATGTCCACGTCCACGTCCACGTCCATGTCCACGTCCATGTCCATGTCCATGTCCACGTCCATGTCCATGTCCATGTCTACATCCACTTCCACGTCCACGTCCGCGTCCATGTCCACGTCCATGTCCACGTCCACGTCCATGTCCACGTCCATGTCCATGTCCACGTCCATGTCCACGACCACGTCCATGTCCACGTCCAAGTCCTCCACGTCCATGTCCACGTCCATGTTCACGTCCACGTCCACAACCACGTCCACGTCCATGTCCACGTCGACGTCCACGTCGACGTCCACGTCCACGTCCACGTCCACGTCCACGACCACGTCCACGTCCACGTCCACGTCCACGTCCACGTCCACGTCAACGTCCACGTCCACGTCCACGTCCACGTCCACGTCCACGACCACGTCCACGACCATGTCCACGTCAATGTCCATGTCCACGTCCACGTCTACGTCCATGTCCACGTCCATGTCCACGTCCAAGTCCTCCACGTCCACCTCCACGTCCACGTCCACGACCACGTCCACGTCCACGTCCAAGTCCTCCACATCCACGTCCACGTCCACGTCCACTTCCACATCTACGTCCACGTCCACGTCCATGTCCAAGTCCATGTCCACGTCCAAGTCCTCCACGTCCACGTCCACGACCACGTCCACGTCCATGTCCACGTCCATGTCCACGTCCACGTCCATGTCCACGTCCACGTCCACGTCCATGTCCACGTGCACGTCCACGTCCACGTCCATGTCCACGTGCACGTCCACGTCCACGTCCATGTCCACGTCCACGTCCACGTCCATGTCCCCGTCCGCGTCCACGTCCACGTCCGCGTCCACGTCCACGTCCGCGTCCATCCACGTCCACGTCCACGTCCACGTCCGCGTCCACGTCCACGTCCACGTCCATGTCCACGTCCACGTCCACGTCCATGTCTCCACGTCCATGTCCACGTCCACGTCCACGTCCACGTCCACGTCCACGTCCACGTCCAGGTCCACGTCCACGTCCACGTCCACGTCCACGTCCACGTCCACGTCCATGTCCACGTCCACGTCCACGTCCGCGTCCACGTCCATGTCCACGTCCCCGTCTATCCACGTTCACGTCCACGTCCACGTCCACGTCCACGTCCGCGTCCACGTCCATGTCCATGTCCATGTCCATGTCCATGTCCTCGTCCATGTCCACGACCACGTCCATGTCCACGTCCAAGTCCTCCACGTCCATGTCCACGTCCATGTCCACGTCCACGTCCACGTCCACGTCCACGTCCACGTCCATGTCCACGTCCACGTCCACGTCCAGGTCCACGTCGACGTCCACATCGACGTCCACGTCGACGTCGACGTCCACGTCCACGTCCACGTCCACGTCCACGACCACGTCCACGACCATGTCCACGTCCATGTCCACGTCCACGTCCACGTCCACGTCCACGTCCACGTCCACGTCCACGTCCATGTCCACGTCCAAGTCCTCCACGTCCACGTCCACGTCCACGACCACGTCCACGTCCACGTCCAAGTTCTCCACGTCCGCGTCCACGTCCACGTCCACGTCCACGTCCACGTCTACGTCCACGTCCACGTCCACGTCCACGTCCACGTCCATGTCCACGTCCAAGTCCTCCACATCCACGTCCACGACCACGTCCACGTCCATGTCCACGTCCATGTCCACGTCCACGTCCATGTCCACGTCCACGTCCACGTCCACGTCCATGTCCACGTCCATGTCCACGTCCACGTCCACGTCCACGTCCACGTCCATGTCCACGTCCATGTCCCCGTCCACGTCCGCGTCCACGTCCGCGTCCACGTCCGCGTCCACGTCCGCGTCCACGTCCACGTCCATCCACGTCCACGTCCGCGTCCACGTCCATGTCCACGTCCATGTCCCCGTCCACGTCCGCGTCCACGTCCATGTCCACGTCCACGTCCACGTCCACGTCCACGTCCATGTCCATGTCCATGTCCACGTCCACGTCCACGTCCATGTCCACGTCGACGTCCACGTCCACGTCCACGTCCACGTCCACGTCCATGTCCACGTCCATGTCCGCGTCCATGTCCACAACCACGTCCATGTCCACGTCCATGTCCACGTCCACGTCCACGTCCACGTCCATATCCACGTCCAGGTCCACGTCCACGTCCATGTCCACGTCCACGACCATGTCCACGTCTATGTCCATGTCCACGTCCACGTCCACGTCCACGTCCACGACCATGTCCACGTCCACGTCCACGTCCTTGTCCACGTCCACGTCCACGTCCACGTCCATGTCCACGTCCGCGTCCACGTCCATGTCCACGTCCACGTCCACGTCCACATCCCCGTCCACGTCCACGTCCGCGTCCACGTCCACGTCCTCGTCCGCGTCCATGTCCACGTCCACGTCCACGTCCATGTCCACCTCCACGTCCACGTCCACAGCCATGTCCACGTCCACGTCCACGTCCACATCCCCGTCCACGTCCACGTCCGCGTCCATGTCCACTTCCATGTCCACGTCCATGTCCACGTCCACGTCCACGTCCACGTCCACATCCACGTCCATGTCCACGTCCATGTCCACGTCCATGTCCACGTCCACGTCCACGTCCACGACCATGTCCACGTCCACGTCGACGTCCACATCCACGTCCACGTCCACGTCCACGACCATGTCCACGTCCACGTCCACGTCCATGTCCACGTCCACGTCCACGTCCATGTCCACGTCCATGTCCACGTCCACATCCCCGTCCACGTCCACGTCCGCGTCCATCCACGTCCGCGTCCACGTCCTTGTCCATGTCCACGTCCACATCCACGTCCACGTCCACGTCCGCGTCCATCCACGTCCGCGTCCACGTCCCCGTCCACGTCCACGTCCACGTCCTGGTCCATGTCCACGTCAACGTCCACGTCCACGTCCACGTCCACGTCCACGTCCATGTCCACGTCCACGTCCATGTCCATGTCCATGTCCATGTCCACGTTCATGTCCACGACCACGTCCATGTCCACGTCCAAGTCCTCCACGTCCATGTCCACGTCCATATCCACGTCCACGTCCACGTCCATGTCCACGTCCACGTCCACGTCCACGTCCATGTCCACGTCCATGTCCACGTCCACGTCCACGTCCACGTCCACGTCCACGTCCACGTCCACATCCATGTCCACGTCCACGTCCACGTCCAGGTCCACGTCCACGTCCACGTCTACGTCCACGTCCACGTCCATGTCCACGTCCACGTCCACGTCCACGTCCACGTCCACGACCACCTCCATGTCTACGTCCACGTCCACGTCCACGGTCCACGTCCACGTCCACGTCCAGGTCCACGTCCACGTCCACGTCCACGACCATGTCCACGTCCATGTCCACGTCCACGTCCACGTCCACGTCCACGTCCACGTCCAAGTCCACGTCCGCGTCCGCGTCCACGTCCATGTCCACGTCCACGTCCATGTCCACGTCCACGTCCACGTCCATGTCCACGTCCATGTCCATGTCCATGTCCATGTCCATGTCCACGTCCATGTCCATGTCCATGTCCACGTCCACGTCCACGTCCACGTCCACGTCCACGTCCATGTCCACGTCCACGTCTACGTCCACGTCCACGTCCACGTCCATGTCCACGTCCATGTCCACAACCACGTCCATGTCCACGTCCATGTCCACGTCCACGTCCACGTCCACGTCCACGTCCATGTCCACGTCCACGTCCACGACCACGTCCACGACCATGTCCACGTCCTTGTCCACGTCCTTGTCCACGTCCACGTCCACGTCCACGTCCACGTCCACGTCCACGTCCACGTCCACGTCCACGTCCATCCCGTCCACGTCCACGTCCGCGTCCCCGTCCACGTCCATGTCCAGGTCCGCTTCCACGTCCACGTCCATGTCCACGTCCGCATCCACGTCCACGTCCACGACCACGTCCATGTCCACGACCATGTCCACGTCCATGTCCACGTCCATGTCCACGTCCACGTCCATGTCTACGTCCATGTCCACCTCCATGTCCGCTTCCACGTCCACGTCCACGTCCACGTCCACGTCCGCATCCACGTCCACGTCCACGTCCACGTCCATGTCCACTTCCACGTCCACGTCCACGTCCACGTCCACGACCATGTCCACGTCCATGTCCACGTCCATGTCCACGTCCACGTCCATGTCTACGTCCATGTCCACCTCCATGTCCGCTTCCACGTCCACGTCCACGTCCACGTCCGCATCCACGTCCACGTCCACGTCCACGTCCATGTCCACTTCCACGTCCACGTCCACGTCCACGTCCACGACCATGTCCACGTCCATGTCCACGTCCATGTCCACGTCCACGTCCATGTCTACGTCCATGTCCACCTCCATGTCCACGTCCACGTCCACGTCCACGTCCATGTCCACGTCCACGTCCACGTCCACGTCCACGTCCATGTCCATGTCCATGTCCACGTCCACGTCCACGTCCATGTCCACGTCGACGTCCACGTCCACGTCCACGTCCACGTCCACGTCCATGTCCACGTCCATGTCCGCGTCCATGTCCACAACCACGTCCATGTCCACGTCCATGTCCACGTCCACGTCCACGTCCACGTCCATATCCACGTCCAGGTCCACGTCCACGTCCATGTCCACGTCCACGACCATGTCCACGTCTATGTCCATGTCCACGTCCACGTCCACGTCCACGACCATGTCCACGTCCACGTCCACGTCCTTGTCCACGTCCACGTCCACGTCCACGTCCATGTCCACGTCCACGTCCACGTCCATGTCCACGTCCACGTCCACGTCCACATCCCCGTCCACGTCCACGTCCGCGTCCACGTCCACGTCCTCGTCCGCGTCCATGTCCACGTCCACGTCCACGTCCATGTCCACCTCCACGTCCACGTCCACGTCCACGTCCACGTCCATGTCCACCTCCACGTCCACGTCCACAGCCATGTCCACGTCCACGTCCACGTCCACATCCCCGTCCACGTCCACGTCCGCGTCCATGTCCACTTCCATGTCCACGTCCATGTCCACGTCCACGTCCACGTCCACATCCACGTCCATGTCCACGTCCATGTCCACATGTCCACGTCCACGTCGACGACCATGTCCACGTCCACGTCGACGTCCACATCCACGTCCACGTCCACGTCCACGACCATGTCCACGTCCACGTCCACGTCCATGTCCACGTCCACGTCCACGTCCATGTCCACGTCCATGTCCACGTCCACATCCCCGTCCACGTCCACGTCCGCGTCCATCCACGTCCGCGTCCACGTCCTTGTCCATGTCCATGTCCACATCCACGTCCACGTCCCCGTCCACGTCCACGTCCACGTCCACGTCCATGTCCATGTCCACGTCCAGGTCCACGTCCACGTCCACGTCCATGTCCACGTCCATGTCCATGTCCATGTCGACGTCCACGTCCACGTCCTGGTCCATGTCCACGTCCACGTCCACGTCCACGTCCACGTCCACGTCCATGTCCACGTCCACGTCCACGTCCACGTCAACGTCCACGTCAACGTCCACGTCCACGTCCACGTCCACGTCCACGTCCACGTCCAGGTCCAGGTCCACGTCCACGTCCACGTCCTCGTCCACGTCCACGTCAACGTCCACGTCCACGTCCACGTCCACGTCCACGTCCACGTCCACGTCAACGTCCAGGTCCACGTCCACGTCCACGTCAACGTCCACGTCCACGTCCACGTCCAGGTCCACGTCAACGTCCACATCAACGTCCACGTCCACGTCCACGTCCAGGTCCACGTCCACGTCCACGTCCAGGTCCACGTCCACGTCCACGTCCACGTCAACGTACACGTCAACGTCCACGTCCACGTCCACGTACACGTCAACGTCCACGTCCACGTCCACGTCCACGTCCACGACCATGTCCACGTCCACGTCCACGTCCACGACCACGTCCACGTCCACGTCCACGTCCATGTCCATGTCCACGTCCACGTCCACGTCCACATCCCCGTCCACATCCAAGTCCACGTCCATGTCCATCCACGTCCATGTCGACGTCCGCGTCCATCCACGTCCACGTCCACGTCCACATCCACGTCCGCGTCCACGTCCACGTCCACGTCCGCGTCCACGTCCACGTCCACGTCCACGTCCACGTCCATGTCCACGTCCACGTCCACGTCCACGTCCACGTGCACCTCCACAACCATGTCCACGTCCACGTCCACGTCCATGTCCACGTCCACGTCCATGTCCACATCCCCGTCCACGTCCAAGTCCACGTCCATGTCCAACCACGTCCATGCCGATGTCCGCGTCCATCCACGTCCACGTCGACGTCCGCGTCCATCCACGTCCACGTCCACGTCCACGTCCGCGTCCACGTCCACGTCCACGTCCGCGTCCACGTCCACGTCCACGTCCATGTCCACGTCCACGTCCACGTCCATGTCCACGTCCATGTCCATGTCCACGTCCATGTCCATGTCCACGTCCACGTCCACGTCCACGTCCACGTCCATGTCCACGTCCATGTCCACGTCCACGTCCATGTCCACGACCACGTCCATGTCCACGTCCAAGTCCTCCACGACCATGTCCACGTCCATGTCCACGTCCACGTCCACGTCCATGTCCACGTCCACGTCCATGTCCACGTCGACGTCCACGTCCACGTCCACGTCCACGTCCACGTCCATGTTCACGTCCACGTCCACGTCCACGTCCATGTCCACGTCCATGTCCACAACCACGTCCATGTCCACGTCCATGTCCACGTCCACGTCCATGTCCACGTCCACGTCCACGTCCACGTCCACGTCCATGTCCACGACCATGTCCACGTCCATGTCCATGTCCACGTCCACGTCCACGTCCACGACCACGACCATGTCCACGTCCACGTCCACGTCCTTGTCCACGTCCACGTCCACGTCCACGTTCATGTCCACGTCTACGTCCACGTCCACATCCCCGTCCACGTCCACGTCCGCGTCCACGTCCACGTCCACGACCATGTCCACATCCACGTCCACGTCCATGTCCACGTCCACGTCCACGTCCATGTCCACGTCCATGTCCATGTCCACGTCCACGTCCACGTCCACGTCCACGTCCACGTCCACGTCCACGTCCAGGTCCATGTCCACGTCCACGTCCATGTCCACATCCCCGTCCACGTCCACGTCCGCGTCCATGTCCACGTCCACGTCCATGTCCACATCCACGTCAACGTCCCCGTCCATGTCCACGTCCATGTCCACGTCCATGTCCACGTCCACGTCCACGTCCCCGTCCACGTCCCCGTCCATGTCCACATCCACGTCCACGTCCACGTCCTTGTCCTGGTCCATGTCCACGTCCACGTCCACGTCCACGTCCATGTCCACGTCCACATCCATGTCCACGTCCACGTCCATGTCCACGTCCATGTCCATGTCCATATCCATGTCCATGTCTACGTCCACGTCCACGTCTACGTCCACGTCCACGTCCACGTCCACGTCCATGTCCACGTCCACGTCAATGTCCACGTCCACGTCCACGTCCATGTCCACGTCGACATCCACGTCCACGTCCACGTCCACGTCCATGTCCACGTCCACGTCCACGTCCATGTCCACGTCGACGTCCACGTCCACGTCCACGTCCACGTCCATGTCCACGTCCACGTCCACGTCCATGTCCATGTCCACGTCCACGTCCACGTCCATGTCCTCGACCATGTCCACGTCCATGTCCATGTCCACGTCCACGTCCACGTCCACGTCCACGTCCACGACCACGACCATGTCCACGTCCACGTCCACGTCCTTGTCCACGTCCACGTCCACGTCCACATCCATGTCCACGTCTACGTCCACGTCCACATCCCCGTCCACGTCGACGTCCGCGTCCATCCACGTCCACGTCCACGTCCGCGTCCACGTCCACGTCCACATCCGCGTCCACGTCCATGTCCACGTCCACGTCCACGTCCATGTCCACGTCCACGTCCATGTCCATGTCCACGTCCATGTCCACGTCCACGTCCATGTCCACGACCATGTCCATGTCCACGTCCAAGTCCTCCACGTCCATGTCCACGTCCATGTCCACGTCCACGTCCACGTCCACGTCCACGTCCATGTCCACGTCCACGTCCACGTCCACGTCCACGTCCACGACCACCTCCATGTCTACGTCCACGTCCACGTCCACGGTCCACGTCCACGTCCACGTCCAGGTCCACGTCCACGTCCACGTCCACGACCATGTCCACGTCCATGTCCACGTCCACGTCCACGTCCACGTCCACGTCCACGTCCAAGTCCACGTCCGCGTCCGCGTCCACGTCCATGTCCACGTCCACGTCCATGTCCACGTCCACGTCCACGTCCATGTCCACGTCCATGTCCATGTCCATGTCCATGTCCATGTCCACGTCCATGTCCATGTCCACGTCCACGTCCATGTCCATGTCCATGTCCATGTCCATGTCCATGTCCATGTCCACGTCCACGTCCACGTCCACGTCCACGTCCACGTCCATGTCCACGTCCACGTCCACGTCCACGTCCACGTCCATGTCCACGTCCATGTCCACAACCACGTCCATGTCCACGTCCATGTCCACGTCCACGTCCACGTCCACGTCCACGTCCATGTCCACGTCCACGTCCACGACCACGTCCACGACCATGTCCACGTCCTTGTCCACGTCCTTGTCCACGTCCACGTCCACGTCCACGTCCACATCCACGTCCACGTCCACGTCCACGTCCACGTCCATCCCGTCCACGTCCACGTCCGCGTCCCCGTCCACGTCCATGTCCAGGTCCGCTTCCACGTCCACGTCCATGTCCACGTCCGCATCCACGTCCACGTCCACGACCACGTCCATGTCCACGACCATGTCCACGTCCATGTCCACGTCCATGTCCACGTCCACGTCCATGTCTACGTCCATGTCCACCTCCAGGTCCGCTTCCACGTCCACGTCCACGTCCACGTCCGCATCCACGTCCACGTCCACGTCCACGTCCACGTCCACTTCCACGTCCACGTCCACGTCCACGTCCACGACCATGTCCACGTCCATGTCCACGTCCATGTCCACGTCCACGTCCATGTCTACGTCCATGTCCACCTCCATGTCCGCTTCCACGTCCACGTCCACGTCCACGTCCGCATCCACGTCCACGTCCACGTCCACGTCCATGTCCACTTCCACGTCCACGTCCACGTCCACGTCCACGACCATGTCCACGTCCATGTCCACGTCCATGTCCACGTCCACGTCCATGTCTACGTCCATGTCCACCTCCATGTCCACTTCCACGTCCACGTCCACCTCCATGTCCACGTCCACGTCCACGTCCACCTCCACGTCCACGTCCACGTCCACGTCCACGTCCACGTCCACGTCAACGTCCACGTCCACGTCTACGTCCACGTCCACGTCCACGTCCACGTCCACGTCCACGTGCACGTCCACCTCCACGTCCATGTCCACGTCAACGTCCACGTCCACGTCCACGTCCACGTCCACCTCCACGTCAACGTCCACCTCCACGTCCACGTCCACGTGCACGTCCACGTCCACGTCCACCTCCATGTCCACGTCCACGTCCACGTCCACGTCCACGACCATGTCCACGTCCACGTCCATGTCCACGTCCACGTCCATGTCCACGTCCACGTCCATGTCCACATCCCCGTCCACGTCCATGTCGATGTCCGCGTCCATCCACGTCCACGTCCATGTCCACGTCCACGTCCATGTCCACGTCCGCGTCCACGACCATGTCCACGTCCACGTCCACGTCCATGTCCACGTCCACGTCCACGTCCATGTCCACATCCCCGTCCACGTCCAAGTCCAGGTCCATGTCCATCCACGTCCATGTCGACGTCCGCGTCCATCCACGTCCACGTCCACGTCCGCGTCCACGTCCACGTCCACATCCGCGTCCACGTCCATGTCCACGTCCACGTCCACGTCCATGTCCACGTCCACGTCCATGTCCATGTCCACGTCCATGTCCACGTCCACGTCCATGTCCACGACCATGTCCATGTCCACGTCCAAGTCCTCCACGTCCATGTCCACGTCCATGTCCACGTCTACGTCCACGTCCACGTCCACGTCCATGTCCATGTCCATGTCCACGTCCACGTCCACGTCCATGTCCACGTCGACGTCCACGTCCACGTCCACGTCCACGTCCACGTCCATGTCCACGTCCATGTCCGCGTCCATGTCCACAACCACGTCCATGTCCACGTCCATGTCCACGTCCACGTCCACGTCCACGTCCATATCCACGTCCAGGTCCACGTCCACGTCCATGTCCACGTCCACGACCATGTCCACGTCTATGTCCATGTCCACGTCCACGTCCACGTCCACGTCCACGACCATGTCTAAGTCCACGTCCACGTCCTTGTCCACGTCTACGTCCACGTCCATGTCCACGTCCACGTCCACGTCCATGTCCACGTCCACGTCCACGTCCACATCCCCGTCCACGTCCACGTCCACGTCCACGTCCACGTCCATGTCCACGTCCACGTCCACGTCCACGTCCACGTCCACGTCCATGTCCACGTCCATGTCCACGTCCATGTCCACGTCCACGTCCACGTCCACGTCCACGTCCATGTCCACGTCCACGTCCACGTCCACGTCCACGTCCATGTCCACGTCCACGTCCACGTCCATGTCCATGTCCACCTCCACGTCCACGTCCACGTCCGCGTCCATCCACGTCCGCGTCCACGTCCCCGTCCACGTCCACGTCCACGTCCACGTCCATGTCCACGTCCATGTCCACGTCCATGTCCACGTCCACGTCCACGTCCACGTCCACGTCCATGTCCACGTCCACGTCCACGTCCACGTCCACGTCCATGTCCATGTCCACATCCACGTCCACGTCCACGTCCGCGTCCATCCACGTCCGCGTCCACGTCCCCGTCCACGTCCACGTCCACGTCCACGTCCATGTCCATGTCCACGTCCAGGTCCACGTCCACGTCCACGTCCATGTCCACGTCCATGTCCATGTCCATGTCGACGTCCACGTCCACGTCCTGGTCCATGTCCACGTCCACGTCCACGTCCACGTCCACGTCCATGTCCACGTCCATGTCCACGTCCATGTCCACGTCCACGTCCACGTCCACGTCCACGTCCATGTCCACGTCCACGTCCACGTCCACGTCCACGTCCATGTCCATGTCCACATCCACGTCCACGTCCACGTCCGCGTCCATCCACGTCCGCGTCCACGTCCCTGTCCACGTCCACGTCCACGTCCACGTCCATGTCCATGTCCACGTCCAGGTCCACGTCCACGTCCACGTCCATGTCCACGTCCATGTCCATGTCCATGTCGACGTCCACGTCCACGTCCTGGTCCATGTCCACGTCCACGTCCACGTCCACGTCCACGTCCACGTCCATGTCCACGTCCACGTCCACGTCCACGTCCACGTCAACGTCCACGTCAACGTCCACGTCCACGTCCACGTCCACGTCCACGTCCAGGTCCAGGTCCACGTCCACGTCCACGTCCACGTCAACGTCCACGTCAACGTCCACGTCCACGTCCACGTCCACGTCCACGTCCACGTCCAGGTCCAGGTCCACGTCCACGTCCACGTCCACGTCCACGTCCACGTCCACGTCAACGTCCACGTCCACGTCCACGTCCACGTCCACGTCCACGTCAACGTCCACGTCCACGTCCAGGTCCACGTCAACGTCCACATCAACGTCCACGTCCACGTCCACGTCCAGGTCCACGTCCACGTCCACGTCCAGGTCCACGTCCACGTCCACGTCCACGTCAACGTACACGTCAACGTCCACGTCCACGTCCACGTACACGTCAACGTCCACGTCCACGTCCACGTCCACGTTCACGACCATGTCCACGTCCACGTCCACGTCCACGACCACGTCCACGTCCACGTCCACGTCCATGTCCATGTCCACGTCCACGTCCACGTCCACATCCCCGTCCACATCCAAGTCCACGTCCATGTCCATCCACGTCCTTGTCGACGTCCGCGTCCATCCACGTCCACGTCCACGTCCACATCCACGTCCGCGTCCACGTCCACGTCCACGTCCGCGTCCACGTCCACGTCCACGTCCACGTCCACGTCCATGTCCACGTCCACGTCCACGTCCACGTCCACGTGCACCTCCACAACCATGTCCACGTCCACGTCCACGTCCACGTCCATGTCCACGTCCACGTCCATGTCCACATCCCCGTCCACGTCCAAGTCCACGTCCATGTCCAACCACGTCCATGCCGACGTCCGCGTCCATCCACGTCCACGTCGACGTCCGCGTCCATCCACGTCCACGTCCACGTCCGCGTCCACGTCCACGTCCACGTCCGCGTCCACGTCCACGTCCACGTCCATGTCCACGTCCACGTCCACGTCCATGTCCACGTCCATGTCCATGTCCACGTCCATGTCCATGTCCACGTCCACGTCCACGTCCACGTCCACGTCCATGTCCACGTCCATGTCCACGTCCACGTCCATGTCCACGACCACGTCCATGTCCACGTCCAAGTCCTCCACGACCATGTCCACGTCCATGTCCACGTCCACGTCCACGTCCATGTCCACGTCCACGTCCATGTCCACGTCGACGTCCACGTCCACGTCCACGTCCACGTCCACGTCCATGTTCACGTCCACGTCCACGTCCACGTCCATGTCCACGTCCATGTCCACAACCACGTCCATGTCCACGTCCATGTCCACGTCCACGTCCATGTCCACGTCCACGTCCACGTCCACGTCCACGTCCATGTCCACGACCATGTCCACGTCCATGTCCATGTCCACGTCCACGTCCACGTCCACGACCACGACCATGTCCACGTCCACGTCCACGTCCTTGTCCACGTCCACGTCCACGTCCACGTTCATGTCCACGTCTACGTCCACGTCCACATCCCCGTCCACGTCCACGTCCGCGTCCACGTCCACGTCCACGTCCACGACCATGTCCACATCCACGTCCACGTCCATCTCCACGTCCACGTCCACGTCCATGTCCACGTCCATGTCCATGTCCACGTCCACGTCCACGTCCACGTCCACGTCCACGTCCACATCCACGTCCAGGTCCATGTCCACGTCCACGTCCATGTCCACATCCCCGTCCACGTCCACGTCCGCGTCCATGTCCACGTCCACGTCCATGTCCACATCCACGTCAACGTCCCCGTCCATGTCCACGTCCATGTCCACGTCCATGTCCACGTCCACGTCCACGTCCCCGTCCACGTCCCCGTCCATGTCCACATCCACGTCCACGTCCACGTCCTTGTCCTGGTCCATGTCCACGTCCACGTCCACGTCCACGTCCATGTCCACGTCCACATCCATGTCCACGTCCACGTCCATGTCCACGTCCATGTCCATGTCCATATCCACGTCCATGTCTACGTCCACGTCCACGTCTACGTCCACGTCCACGTCCACGTCCACGTCCACGTCCATGTCCGCGTCCACGTCCACGTCCACGTCCACGTCCATGTCCGCGTCCACGTCCATGTCCACGTCCACGTCCACGTCCACGTCCATATCCACGTCCAGGTCCACGTCCACGTCCACGTCCATGTCCACGTCTATGTCCAGGTCCACGTCCACGTCCACGTCCACGTCCACGACCATGTCCACGTCTACGTCCATGTCCACGTCCACGTCCACGTCCACGTCCACGACCATGTCCACGTCCACGTCCACGTCCTTGTCCACGTCTACGTCCACGTCCATGTCCACGTCCACGTCCACGTCCATGTCCACGTCCACGTCCACGTCCACGTCCCCGTCCACGTCCACGTCCACGTCCACGTCCACGTCCATGTCCACGTCCACGTCCACGTCCACGTCCACGTCCACGTCCATGTCCACGTCCACGTCCACGTCCATGTCCACGTCCACGTCCACGTCCACGTCCACGTCCATGTCCACGTCCACGTCCACGTCCACGTCCACGTCCATGTCCATGTCCACATCCACGTCCACGTCCACGTCCGCGTCCATCCACGTCCGCGTCCACGTCCCCGTCCACGTCCATGTCCACGTCCACGTCCATGTCCACGTCCATGTCCACGTCCATGTCCACGTCCACGTCCACGTCCACGTCCACGTCCACGTCCATGTCCACGTCCACGTCCACGTCCACGTCCATGTCCATGTCCACATCCACGTCCACGTCCACGTCCGCGTCCATCCACGTCCGCGTCCACGTCCCCGTCCACGTCCACGTCCACGTCCACGTCCATGTCCATGTCCACGTCCAGGTCCACGTCCACGTCCACGTCCATGTCCACGTCCACGTCCACGTCCATGTCCACGTCCATGTCCACGTCCATGTCCACGTCCACGTCCACGTCCACGTCCACGTCCACGTCCATGTCCACGTCCATGTCCACGTCCATGTCCACGTCCACGTCCACGTCCACGTCCACGTCCACGTCCATGTCCACGTCCACGTCCACGTCCACGTCCACGTCCATGTCCATGTCCACATCCACGTCCACGTCCACGTCCGCGTCCATCCACGTCCGCGTCCACGTCCCCGTCCACGTACACGTCCACGTCCACGTCCATGTCCATGTCCACGTCCAGGTCCACGTCCACGTCCACGTCCATGTCCACGTCCATGTCCATGTCCATGTCGACGTCCACGTCCACGTCCTGGTCCATGTCCACGTCCACGTCCACGTCCACGTCCACGTCCACGTCCATGTCCACGTCCACGTCCACGTCCACGTCCACGTCAACGTCCACGTCAACGTCCACGTCCACGTCGACGTCCACGTCCACGTCCAGGTCCAGGTCCACGTCCACGTCCACGTCCACGTCAACGTCCACGTCAACGTCCACGTCCACGTCCACGTCCACGTCCACGTCCACGTCCAGGTCCAGGTCCACGTCCACGTCCACGTCCACGTCCACGTCAACGTCCACGTCCACGTCCACGTCCACGTCCACGTCCACGTCAACGTCCACGTCCACGTCCACGTCCAGGTCCACGTCAACGTCCACATCAACGTCCACGTCCACGTCCACGTCCAGGTCCACGTCCACGTCCACGTCCAGGTCCACGTCCACGTCCACGTCCACGTCAACGTACACGTCAACGTCCACGTCCACGTCCACGTACACGTCAACGTCCACGTCCACGTCCACGTCCACGTTCACGACCATGTCCACGTCCACGTCCACGTCCACGACCACGTCCACGTCCACGTCCACGTCCATGTCCATGTCCACGTCCACGTCCACGTCCACATCCCCGTCCACATCCAAGTCCACGTCCATGTCCATCCACGTCCTTGTCGACGTCCGCGTCCATCCACGTCCACGTCCACGTCCACATCCACGTCCGCGTCCACGTCCACGTCCACGTCCGCGTCCACGTCCACGTCCACGTCCACGTCCACGTCCATGTCCACGTCCACGTCCACGTCCACGTCCACGTGCACCTCCACAACCATGTCCACGTCCACGTCCACGTCCACGTCCATGTCCACGTCCACGTCCATGTCCACATCCCCGTCCACGTCCAAGTCCACGTCCATGTCCAACCACGTCCATGCCGACGTCCGCGTCCATCCACGTCCACGTCGACGTCCGCGTCCATCCACGTCCACGTCCACGTCCACGTCCGCGTCCACGTCCACGTCCACGTCCGCGTCCACGTCCACGTCCATGTCCACGTCCACGTCCACGTCCATGTCCACGTCCATGTCCATGTCCACGTCCATGTCCATGTCCACGTCCACGTCCACGTCCACGTCCACGTCCATGTCCACGTCCATGTCCACGTCCACGTCCATGTCCACGACCACGTCCATGTCCACGTCCAAGTCCTCCACGACCATGTCCACGTCCATGTCCACGTCCACGTCCACGTCCATGTCCACGTCCACGTCCATGTCCACGTCGACGTCCACGTCCACGTCCACGTCCACGTCCACGTCCATGTTCACGTCCACGTCCACGTCCACGTCCATGTCCACGTCCATGTCCACAACCACGTCCATGTCCACGTCCATGTCCACGTCCACGTCCATGTCCACGTCCACGTCCACGTCCACGTCCACGTCCATGTCCACGACCATGTCCACGTCCATGTCCATGTCCACGTCCACGTCCACGTCCACGACCACGACCATGTCCACGTCCACGTCCACGTCCTTGTCCACGTCCACGTCCACGTCCACGTTCATGTCCACGTCTACGTCCACGTCCACATCCCCGTCCACGTCCACGTCCGCGTCCACGTCCACGTCCACGTCCACGACCATGTCCACATCCACGTCCACGTCCATGTCCACGTCCACGTTTACGTCCATGTCCACGTCCATGTCCATGTCCACGTCCACGTCCACGTCCACGTCCACGTCCACGTCCACGTCCAGGTCCATGTCCACGTCCACGTCCATGTCCACATCCCCGTCCACGTCCACGTCCGCGTCCATGTCCACGTCCACGTCCATGTCCACATCCACGTCAACGTCCCCGTCCATGTCCACGTCCATGTCCACGTCCATGTCCACGTCCACGTCCACGTCCCCGTCCACGTCCCCGTCCATGTCCACATCCACGTCCACGTACACGTCCTTGTCCTGGTCCATGTCCACGTCCACGTCCACGTCCACGTCCATGTCCACGTCCACATCCATGTCCACGTCCACGTCCATGTCCACGTCCATGTCCATGTCCATATCCATGTCCATGTCTACGTCCACGTCCACGTCTACGTCCACGTCCACGTCCACGTCCATGTCCACGTCCACGTCAATGTCCACGTCCACGTCCACGTCCATGTCCACGTCGACATCCACGTCCACGTCCACGTCCACGTCCATGTCCACGTCCACGTCCACGTCCATGTCCACGTCGACGTCCACGTCCACGTCCACGTCCACGTCCATGTCCACGTCCACGTCCACGTCCATGTCCATGTCCACGTCCACGTCCACGTCCATGTCCTCGACCATGTCCACGTCCATGTCCATGTCCACGTCCACGTCCACGTCCACGTCCACGTCCACGACCACGACCATGTCCACGTCCACGTCCACGTCCTTGTCCACGTCCACGTCCACGTCCACATCCATGTCCACGTCTACGTCCACGTCCACATCCCCGTCCACGTCGACGTCCGCGTCCATCCACGTCCACGTCCACGTCCGCGTCCACGTCCACGTCCACATCCGCGTCCACGTCCATGTCCACGTCCACGTCCACGTCCATGTCCACGTCCACGTCCATGTCCATGTCCACGTCCATGTCCACGTCCACGTCCATGTCCACGACCATGTCCATGTCCACGTCCAAGTCCTCCACGTCCATGTCCACGTCCATGTCCACGTCCACGTCCACGTCCACGTCCACGTCCATGTCCATGTCCATGTCCACGTCCACGTCCACGTCCATGTCCACGTCGACGTCCACGTCCACGTCCACGTCCACGTCCACGTCCATGTCCACGTCCATGTCCGCGTCCATGTCCACAACCACGTCCATGTCCACGTCCATGTCCACGTCCACGTCCACGTCCACGTCCATATCCACGTCCAGGTCCACGTCCACGTCCATGTCCACGTCCACGACCATGTCCACGTCTATGTCCATGTCCACGTCCACGTCCACGTCCACGTCCACGACCATGTCCACGTCCACGTCCACGTCCTTGTCCACGTCCACGTCCACGTCCACGTCCATGTCCACGTCCACGTCCACGTCCATGTCCACGTCCACGTCCACGTCCACATCCCCGTCCACGTCCACGTCCGCGTCCACGTCCACGTCCTCGTCCGCGTCCATGTCCACGTCCACGTCCACGTCCATGTCCACCTCCACGTCCACGTCCACAGCCATGTCCACGTCCACGTCCACATCCCCGTCCACGTCCACGTCCGCGTCCATGTCCACTTCCATGTCCACGTCCATGTCCACGTCCACGTCCACGTCCACGTCCACATCCACGTCCATGTCCACGTCTTTGTCCACGTCCACGTCCACGTCCACGACCATGTCCACGTCCACGTCGACGTCCACATCCACGTCCACGTCCACGTCCACGACCACGTCCACGTCCACGTCCACGTCCACGTCCACGTCCATGTCCACGTCCACGTCCATGTCCACGTCCATGTCCACGTCCACATCCCCGTCCACGTCCACGTCCGCGTCCATCCACGTCCGCGTCCACGTCCTTGTCCATGTCCACGTCCACATCCACGTCCACGTCCACGTCCGCGTCCATCCACGTCCGCGTCCACGTCCCCGTCCACGTCCACGTCCACGTCCACGTCCATGTCCACGTCCACGTCCAGGTCCACGTCCACGTCCACGTCCATGTCCACGTCGACGTCCACGTCCATGTCGACGTCCACGTCCACGTCCTGGTCCACGTCCACGTCCACGTCCACGTCCATGTCCACGTCCACGTCCACGTCCACGTCCACGTCAACGTCCACGTCCACGTCCACGTCCACGTCCACGTCCACGTCCACGTCCACGTCCAGGTCCACGTCCACGTCCACGTCCACGTCCACGTCCACGTCAACGTCCACGTCCACGTCCACGTCCACGTCCACGTCTACGTCAACGTCCAGGTCCACGTCCACGTCCACGTCAACGTCCACGTCCACGTCCACGTCCAGGTCCACGTCAACGTCCACATCAACGTCCACGTCCACGTCCACGTCCAGGTCCACGTCCACGTCCACGTCCAGGTCCACGTCCACGTCCACGTCCACGTCAACGTACACGTCAACGTCCACGTCCACGTCCACGTACACGTCAACGTCCACGTCCACGTCCACGTCCACGTCCACGACCATGTCCACGTCCACGTCCACGTCCACGACCACGTCCACGTCCACGTCCACGTCCATGTCCATGTCCACGTCCACGTCCACGTCCACATCCCCGTCCACATCCAAGTCCACGTCCATGTCCATCCACGTCCTTGTCGACGTCCGCGTCCATCCACGTCCACGTCCAAGTCCACATCCACGTCCGCGTCCACGTCCACGTCCACGTCCGCGTCCACGTCCACGTCCACGTCCACGTCCACGTCCATGTCCACGTCCACGTCCACGTCCACGTCCACGTGCACCTCCACAACCATGTCCACGTCCACGTCCACGTCCACGTCCATGTCCACGTCCACGTCCATGTCCACATCCCCGTCCACGTCCAAGTCCACGTCCATGTCCAACCACGTCCATGCCGACGTCCGCGTCCATCCACGTCCACGTCGACGTCCGCGTCCATCCACGTCCACGTCCACGTCCGCGTCCACGTCCACGTCCACGTCCGCGTCCACGTCCACGTCCACGTCCATGTCCACGTCCACGTCCATGTCCATGTCCACGTCCATGTCCATGTCCACGTCCATGTCCATGTCCACGTCCACGTCCACGTCCACGTCCACGTCCATGTCCACGTCCATGTCCACGTCCACGTCCATGTCCACGACCACGTCCATGTCCACGTCCAAGTCCTCCACGACCATGTCCACGTCCATGTCCACGTCCACGTCCACGTCCATGTCCACGTCCACGTCCATGTCCACGTCGACGTCCACGTCCACGTCCACGTCCACGTCCACGTCCATGTTCACGTCCACGTCCACGTCCATGTCCACGTCCATGTCCACAACCACGTCCATGTCCACGTCCATGTCCACGTCCACGTCCATGTCCACGTCCACGTCCACGTCCACGTCCACGTCCATGTCCACGACCATGTCCACGTCCATGTCCATGTCCACGTCCACGTCCACGTCCACGACCACGACCATGTCCACGTCCACGTCCACGTCCTTGTCCACGTCCACGTCCACGTCCACGTTCATGTCCACGTCTACGTCCACGTCCACATCCACGTCCATGTCCTTGTCCTGGTCCATGTCCACGTCCACGTCCACGTCCACGTCCATGTCCACGTCCACATCCATGTCCACGTCCACGTCCATGTCCACGTCCATGTCCATGTCCATATCCATGTCCATGTCTACGTCCACGTCCACGTCTACGTCCACGTCCACGTCCACGTCCATGTCCACGTCCACGTCAATGTCCACGTCCACGTCCACGTCCATGTCCACGTCGACATCCACGTCCACGTCCACGTCCACTTCCATGTCCACGTCCACGTCCACGTCCATGTCCACGTCGACGTCCACGTCCACGTCCACGTCCACGTCCATGTCCACGTCCACGTCCACGTCCATGTCCATGTCCACGTCCACGTCCACGTCCATGTCCTCGACCATGTCCACGTCCATGTCCATGTCCACGTCCACGTCCACGTCCACGTCCACGTCCACGACCACGACCATGTCCACGTCCACGTCCACGTCCTTGTCCACGTCCACGTCCACGTCCACGTCCATGTCCACGTCTACGTCCACGTCCACATCCCCGTCCACGTCGACATCCGCGTCCACGTCCACGTCCACGTCCACGACCATGTCCACATCCACGTCCACGTCCATGTCCACGTCCACGTCCACGTCCACTTCCATGTCCACGTCCACGTCCATGTCCACGTCCACGTCCACGTCCACGTCCACGTCCACGTCCATGTCCACATCCCCGTCCACGTCCACGTCCGCGTCCATGTCCACGTCCACGTCCACGTCCACGTCCACGTCCATGTCCACATCCGCGTCCACGACCCCATCCACGTCCGCGTCCATGTCCACATCCACGTCCACGTCCACGTCCATGTCCACGTCCACGTCCACGTCCACGTCCACGTGCACCTCCACAACCATGTCCACGTCCACGTCCACGTCCACGTCGATGTCCACGTCCACGTCCATGTCCACATCCCCGTCCACGTCCAAGTCCACGTCCATGTCCAACCACGTCCATGCCGACGTCCGCGTCCATCCACGTCCACGTCGACGTCCGCGTCCATCCACGTCCACGTCCACGTCCACGTCCACGTCCGCGTCCACGTCCACGTCCACGTCCGTGTCCACGTCCACGTCCACGTCCATGTCCATGTCCACGTTCACGTCCATGTCCACGTCCATGTCCATGTCCACGTCCATGTCCATGTCCACGTCCACGTCCACGTCCACGTCCATGTCCACGTCCATGTCCACGTCCACGTCCATGTCCACGACCACGTCCATGTCCACGTCCAAGTCCTCCACGTCCATGTCCACATCCATGTCCACGTCCACGTCCACGTCCATGTCCACGTCCACGTCCATGTCCACGTCGACGTCCATGTCCACGTCCACGTCCACGTCCATGTTCACGTCCACGTCCACGTCCACGTCCACGTCCATGTCCACGTCCATGTCCAAAACCACGTCCATGTCCACGTCCATGTCCACGTCCACGTCCACGTCCATGTCCACGTCCACGTCCACGTCCACCTCCACGTCCACGTCCATGTCCACGACCATGTCCACGTCCATGTCCATGTCCACGTCCACGTCCACGTCCACGACCACGACCATGTCCACGTCCACGTCCACGTCCTTGTCCACGTCCACGTCCACGTCCACGTTCATGTCCACGTCTACGTCCACGTCCACATCCCCGTCCACGTCCACGTCCGCGTCCCATCCACGTCCACGTCCACGACCATGTCCACATCCACGTCCACGTCCATGTCCACGTCCACGTCCACGTCCATGTCCACGTCCATGTCCATGTCCACGTCCACGTCCACGTCCACGTCCACGTCCACGTCCATGTCCACGTCCACGTCCATGTCCACGTCCACGTCCATGTCCACATCCCCGTCCACGTCCACGTCCGCGTCCATGTCCACGTCCACGTCCATGTCCACGTCCACGTCAACGTCCCCGTCCATGTCCACGTCCATGTCCACGTCCATGTCCACGTCCACGTCCACGTCCCTGTCCACGTCCCCGTCCATGTCTACATCCACGTCCACGTCCACGTCCTTGTCCTGGTCCATGTCCACGTCCACGTCCACGTCCACGTCCATGTCCACGTCCACATCCATGTCCACGTCCACGTCCATGTCCACGTCCATGTCCATGTCCATATCCATGTCCATGTCTACGTCCACGTCCACGTCTACGTCCACGTCCACGTCCACGTCCACGTCCATGTCCACGTCCACGTCAATGTCCACGTCCACGTCCACGTCCATGTCCACGTCGACATCCACGTCCACGTCCACGTCCACGTCCACGTCCACGTCCATGTCCACGTCCATGTCCACGACGACGTCCACGTCCACGTCCACGTCCATGTCCACGTCGACGTCCACGTCCACGTCCACGTCCACGTCCATGTCCACGTCCACGTCCACGTCCATGTCCACGTCCACGTCCACGTCCACGTCCATGTCCTCGACCATGTCCACGTCCATGTCCATGTCCACGTCCACGTCCACGTCCACGTCCACGACCACGACCATGTCCACGTCCACGTCCACGTCCACGTCCACGTCCACGTCCATGTCCACGTCTACGTCCACGTCCACATCCCCGTCCACGTCCACGTCCGCGTCCACGTCCACGTCCACGTCCACGACCATGTCCACATCCACGTCCACGTCCATGTCCACGTCCACGTCCACGTCCACTTCCATGTCCACGTCCACGTCCATGTCCACGTCCACGTCCACGTCCACGTCCACGTCCACGTCCACGTCCACGTCCATGTCCACATCCCCGTCCACGTCCACGTCCACGTCCCCGTCCACGTCCACGTCCACGTCCACGTCCACGTCCACGTCCACGTCCACGTCCACGTCCGCGTCCATGTCCACGTCCATGTCCACGTCTATGTCCACGTCCACGTCCACGTCCCCGTCCACGTCCCCGTCCACGTCCCCGTCCACGTCCACGTCCACGTCCACGTCCACGTCCACGTCCACGTCCATGTCCACGTCCACGTCCATGTCCACGTCCACGTCCATGTCCACGTCCATGTCCATGTCCATGTCCACGTCCATGTCTACGTCCACGTCCACGTCCACGTCCACGTCCACGTCCATGTCCACATCCACGTCAACGTCCATGTCCACGTCCACGTCCATGTCCACGTCCACGTCCATGTCCGCGTCCACGTCCACGTCCATGTCCACGTCCACGTCCACGTCCACGTCCACGTCCGCGTCCGTCCACGTCCGCGTCCACGTCCACGTCCATGTCCACGTACATATCCACGTCCACGTACATGTCCATGTCCATGTCCATGTCCACGTCCACGTCCACGTCCACGTCCACGTCCACATCCACATCCAGGTCCACGTCCATGTCCACGTCCATGTCCACGTCCACGTCCATGTCCACGTCCACGTCCACATCCACGTCCACCTCCACGTCCACGTCCACGACCACGTCCACGACCATGTCCACGTCCACGTCCACGTCCACGTCCACGTTCATGTCCACGTCCATGTCCACGTCCAAGTCCTCCACGTCCACGTCCACAACCACGTCCATGTCCACGTCCACGTCCACGTCCACGTCCATGTCCACGTCCACGTCCACGTCGGCATCCATGTCCACGTCGGCGTCCACGTCCACGTCCACGTCCACGTCCACGTCCACGTCCACGTCCACGTCCACGTCCACGTCCACGTCCATGTCCACGTCCACGTCCACGTCCATGTCCACGTCCATGTCCATGTCCACGTCCACGTCCACGTCCATGTCCATGTCCATGTCCATGTCCACGTCCATGTCCATGTCCACGTCCACGTCCATGTCCACGTCCAGGTCCACGTCCATGTCCACGTCCACGTCCAGGTCCACGTCCATGTCCATGTCCATGTCTACGTCCACGTCCACGTCCATGTCCACGTCCATGTCCATGTCCATGTCCATGTCCATGTCCATGTCCACGTCCACGTACACGTCCTCGTCCACGTCCATGTCCACGTCCATGTCCACGTCCACGTCCACGTCCACGTCCACGTCCTCGTTTACGTCCACGTCCACGTCCATGTCCATGTCCACGTCCATGTCCACGTCCACGTCCACGTCCTCGTCCACGTCCATGTCATCGTCCACGTCCACGTCCACGTCCACGTCCACGTCCACGACCACGTCCACGTCCACGTCCATGACCACGTCCAATTCCACGTCCAAGTCCTCCACGTCCATGTCCACGTCCACGTCCACGTCCACGTCCACGTCCATGTCCACGTCCACGTCCACATCCACGTGCACGTCCACGTCTACGTCCACGTCCACGTCCGCGTCCACGTCCGCGTCCACGTCCACGTCCGCGTCCCCGTCCGCGTCCACGTCCAAGTCCATGTCCTCGTCCATGTCCACGTCCACGTTCGCGTCCATCCACGTCCACGTCCACGTCCACGTCCACGTCCTCGTCCGCGTCCTCGTCCGCGTCCACGTCCACGTCCACGTCCACGTTCACGTCCACGTCCACGTCCACGTCCATGTCCATGTCCACGTCCATGTCCACGTCCACGTCCACGTCCACGTCCACGTCCACGTCCACGTCCATGTCCACGTCCATGTCCATGTCCATGTCCATGTCCACGTCCACGTCCACGTCCATGTCCACGTCCACGTCCACGACCACGTCCACGTCCACGTCCACGTCCGTGTCCACGTCCAAGTCCTCCACGTCCACGTCCACGTCCACGTCCAAGTCCTCCACGTCCATGTCCACGTCCGCTTTCCATCACCCCGCCCCATTCTCTTGCTTTCCATCACCCCGCCCCATTCTCCTACTTTCCATCACCTCAACCCATTCTCCCACTTTCCATCACTCCGCCCCATTCTCCCGCTTTCCATCAGCCCGCCCCATTCTCACTCTTTCCATCACCCCACCCCATTCTCCCTCCGTCCATCACCCCGCCCCATTCGCCTGATTTCCATCGCCCCGCCCAATTCTCCCGTTTTCCATCACCCCGCCCCATTCTCCCACTATCCATCACCCCGCCTCATTATCCCGCTTTCCATCACCCTGCCCCATTCTCTTGCTTTCCATCACCCCGCCCCATTCTCCCGCTTTCCATCACCCCGCCCCACTCTCCCGCTTTCCATCATCCCACCCAATTCTCCCTCCTTCCATCGCCCCGCCCCTTTCTCCCGCTTTCCATCGCCCCGCCCCATTCTCCCGCTTTCCATCACCCGGCCCCATTCTCCCGCTTTCCATCACCCCGCCCCATTCTCCCACTTTCCATCACCCCGCCCCATTCTCCCAATCTCCATCACCCCGCCCCATTCTCCCTCCTTCCATCACCCCGCCCCATTCTCCCTCCTTCCATCACCCCGCCCAATTCTCCCGCTTTCCATCACTCCGCCCCATTTTCCCGCTTTCCACCACCCCCCCCCCTTTCTCCCTCCTTTCATAACCCCGCCCCATTCTCCCGCTTTCCATCACCCTGCCTCATTCTCCCGCTTTCCCTCACCCCGCCACAATCTCCTGCTTTCCATAGCCCCGCCCCATTCTCCTTCTTTCCATCACCCCGCCCCTTTCTCCCGCTTTCCATCACTACGCCCCATTCTCCCTCCTTCCATCATCCCGCCCCATTCTCCCGCTTTCCATCACCCCGCCCCATTCTCCCGTTTTCCATCACCCCGCCCCATTCTCCCACTTTCTATCACCCCGCCCCATTCTCCCGCTTTCCATCACCCCGCCCCATTCTTCCGCTTTCCATCACCCCACCCCATTCTCCTGCTTTCCATCACCCCGCCCCATTCTCCCTCCTTCCATCACCCCGCCCCATTCTCCCTCCTTCCATCACCCCGCCCCATTCTCCCGCTTTCCATCACCCCGCCCCATTCTCCCTCCTTCCATAACCCCACCCCATTCTCCCTCCTTCCATCACCCCGCCCCATTCTCTCGCTTTCCATCACCCCGCCCCATTCTCCCGCTTTCCATCACCTCGCCCCATTCTCCCTCCTTCCATCACCTCGCCCCATTCTCCCCCCTTCCATAACCCGCCCCATTCTCCCACTTTCCATCACCCCGCCCCATTCTCCCGCTTTCCATCACCCCGCCCCATTCTCCCGCTTTCCCTCACCCCGCCCCAGTCTCCCGCTTTCCATAGCCCCGCCCCATTCTCCCCATCACCGCACCCCATTCTCCTGCTTTCCATCACCCCGCCCCATTCTCCCGCTTTCCATCACCCCGTCTCATTCTCCCGCTTTCCATCACCCCGCCCCATTCTCCCGCTTTCCATCACTCCGCCCCATTCTCCCGCTTTCCATCACCCCGCCTCATTCTCCCGCTTTCCATCACCCCGCCACATTCTCCCGCTTTCCATCACCCCGCCCCATTCTCCCTCCTTCCATCACCCCACCCTATTTTCCCTCCTTCCATCACCCCGCCCCATTCTCCCGCTTTCCATCACCCCCCCTCATCCTCCCGCTTTCCATCACCCCGCCCCATTCCCCCGCTTTCCATCACCCCGCCCCATTCTCCCGCTTTCCATCACCCCGCCCCATTCTTCCGCTTTCCATCACCCCGTCCCATTCTCCCGCTTTCCATCACCACGCCCCATCCTCCCGCTTTCCATCACCCCGCCCCATTCTCCCGCTATCCATCACCCCGCCCCATTCTCCCGCTTTCCATCACCCCACCTCATTCACCCTCCTTCCATCACCCCGCCCCATTCTCCCTCCTTCCATCACCCCTCCCCATTCTCCCGCTTTCCATCACCCCGTCCCATTCTCCCGCTTTCCATCACCCCGCCCCATTCCCCCGCTTTCCATCACCCCGCCCCATTCTCCCGCTTTCTATCACCCCGCCCCATTCTTCCGCTTTCCATCACCCCGTCCCATTCTCCCACTTTCAATCACCACGCCCCATTCTCCCGCTTTCTATCACCCCGCCCCATTCTCCCGCTATCCATCACCCCGCCCCATTCTCCCGCTTTCCATCACCCAGCCTCATTCTCCCTCCTTCCATCACCCCTCCCCATTCTCCCGCTTTCCATCACCCCGTCCCATTCTCCCGCTCTCCATCACCCCTCCCCATTCTCCCTCCTTCCATCACCCCGTCCCATTCTCCCTCCTTCCATCAACCCGCCCCATTCTCCCTCCTTTGATCACCCCGCCTCATTCTCGCGCGTTCCATCACCCCGGGATGGAATATGGGAGAAGGGGATGGAATCTGGGTGAAGGGAATGGAATATGGGAGAAGGGGATGGAATCTGGGAGAAGGGGATGGAATCTGGGAGAAGGGGATGGAATCAGGGAGAAGGGGATGGAGTCCGGGAGAAGGGGATGGAATCTGGGAGAAGGGGGTGGAATCAAGGAGAAGGGGATGGAATCCGGGAGAAGGGGATGGAATCTGGGAGAAGGGGGTGGAATCAAGGAGAAGGGGATGGAATCCGGGAGAAGGGGATGGAATCTGGGAGAAGGGGATGGAATCTGGGAGAAGGGGATGAAATCAGGGAGAAGGGGATGGAATCTGGGAGAAGGGGATGGAATCTGGGAGAAGGGGATGGAATCAGGGAGAAGGGGATGGAATCTGGGAGAAGGGGATGGAATCTGGGAGAAGGGGGTGGAATCTGGGAGAAGGGGATGGAATCTGGGAGAAGGGGATAGAATCTGGGAGAAGGGGATGGAATCTGGGAGAAGGGGATGGGATCAGGGAGAAGGGGATGGAATCGGGGAGAAGGGGATGGAATCTGGGAGAAGGGGATGGAATCTGGGAGAAGGGGATTGAATCTGGGAGAAGGGGATGGAATCTGGGAGAAGGGGATGGAATCTGGGAGAAGGGGATGGAATCAGGGAGAAGGGGATGGAATCTGGGAGAAGGGGATGGAATCTGGGAGAAGGGGGTGGAATCTGGGAGAAGGGGATGGAATCTGGGAGAAGGGGATGGAATCTGGGAGAAGGGGATGGAATCTGGGTGAAGGGGATGGAATCTGGGAGAAGGGGATGGAATCTTGGTGAAGGGGATGGAATATGGGAGAAAAGGATGGAATCTGGGAGAAGGGGATGGAATCTGGGAGAAGGGGATGGAATC